GCTGTCTCAAGCTTTTGGCTTACGAAGCTATGGTCTATAATTCGCACTCCATTCCCCTTTTCATACAGAAACTTCATGTGCGTTTCGTTCACAAGGCTAATCAAATTTTGCAGAAGGCAATAAATATTTGGCTTTGTTGGTATGTTTTCTGAAATTAATAATGAATTTAAATTAAAAAAATCATAATAAACTATAAATATAAACCATTATATATTACAGTATAAGCTTGATAATTTTTTTATTGTTTCTCATTAGTTTCTCGAGCTTATACTGAAATTTAAACGCAATACTTACTTTTCATTTTGGCAAATAAACTCTCTACATAGTTTTTGGTTCTTGCCTCAACATTAGAAACACAAAAGACATCTGTAGTAACTTGTCTCATCCAGAAGTTTTTAAAGTATGTGTTAAAATCTTTTAAGGCCACGTGCAAATGATACTGGAAAAGAAAGAATAAAATTAATTTAAAATAAAATCAATTATATTTTATACGTACACGTTTTTGAAGCTCCATTATTTCCATTAAACCGTTCTCAATATGATCCCTTGGTAGTTGCTGAAACATTCCAATTAGACGTTTGGCGCATATTTGTTCTTCGTTCAAATCTGCCTGTACTGAATATAGTAGGCCTAGTTTTTCCTTCGCATTACGTCTAATTGCTTGGCAGAAGTGGAACCAACATCCCAGCATTTGGGCTTCTGGACAGATATGCTCCACTGATTCCTTATTGCTGTCTCAAAGTCTGCCATAACTTTTGTTGGAACAATTCCTTTATTTCTTAGAAATTTGAACACAACTTTGTATGAACAAATATCTTTTTTTGTCATCATTGCAACAGCGATAAGGCGTGGCTGTATTAAATATTCAAAAATAATTTTGAGTTCTTTCAAATAAATAAAATAAATATCATTTAATAAGGAAATAAATATCACATGAAAATCATGTTGGTATTATTTCCTATGGAAATTTTCGTCTAACCTACACGTCCTAGCCGCGCTCAAAATAAAGATTCGCTGGATTCAAAGAATGTGATAGATTTTCGTAGTGAATGGAATTTTATTTTTCTTTAACATAATAATTCGTAAGCATGACTTTCGAAGGAAATACAGTGGAAGCCCGTTAAGAGCAACTCCATTAAGAGTAAAAGCTCGCTAAATCCCCACACACTCACATTTCCGAACAATTTTTGCCGGTTAAGAGCAAAATCCTAATAAAAGCAAAGCCCTGGGGTGAGCATGAGAGTTCATATTAAAAGCACGCCCGAAATAAAGAATAATAATAATAATAATAATAATAAGTAAATAAGAAAAAAAAAAGCAGTCTTGCAGTTTTCAACGCGTTCATCGTGTTTCTTTATAAAAAATAATATATATTAGAGACGCGTAAAATTCAAATGCAGCATATTCATAAAAAAAAACTCTAAATAGAAAAAAAAAATAATAGTAATAAAATTGAAAAATACCGATGAAAACCGTTCAAATCTTGGAGAAAAATGTGTCAAAGTTCTTAAGGATGCATTATCTTTGATATATACTGAAATGCATCACTAGGTTGATAACGACTTTTTCATTAAGATTTTCGAAAAAGTCCGTTAAGAGAAAAAGCCCGTTAATTGTGACTCCCTTCAGTGTTTCTCTTAACGGGCTTCCACTGTACAATGTAACTTACAACGATCACGGAGTCGGACTCTTACGCTTCTGGTATACGTTTTAATCAATGCGGGAAAATGAACACAACTAAAGGAGAATCATAAATGATCAGTTTGTGCGAATATCTTAACTTCGCGCAATTTAACAAGTACCTTCCGATATAAGTTTTCATCGTGCTCTTTTCCCAATTCCTTGTCTGAACGTTTCTAGCTAAATTATAAATATATTTATCAGACTGTCATGGTTTTTGGAAAGTAGAATATTTTAACCAATTGTTATTCCGTTTAACAAATGCAATACGTTCCGTTTACTTCAATGGTTTTCGATTTTAACAATTCTTTCTGACTTTCACGTTTTAATGTCTGCCTTATCTTTCATTCAGATTAAAGAGGTTGAGCACGAGATTTTAAAGTAAGAGACCGTTACAACTTACACCGTTTTAAATTAATTCTAGGGTGGTTGGCTAATTATCGACCACCTCGAAATCGCGTCCAATTATCGACCACTACTTTCGAACTTAATATTCTCAGCTATTTTTTATTATTTACGGCTTGAAACTTTGTAGAGAGCTACTTTGGACTATGCTCTACCTCTCTACAGAGTTCTAAGCCAGAAATAATAAAAAATAGCTGAGAAAATTAAGTTCGAAAGTAGTGGTCGATAATTGGACGCGATTTCGAGGTGGTCGATAATTAGCCAACTACCCTAATTTGTTTCTTAATTCGCAAATATTTGTTTTCTTAATAATTCAGATTATATTTTGAGGAGCCTCGGCGACAGAAATAAATATATGGGCTTGGTCGGCGTCACGTGAGCAACGGTCACAAATTCAAAGCGGAATATCATATGTTTGGCTTAAGCTTTTACTGAAACCACTTACACTTTTAAATAGGGCTTACCAAGTAGATAAAACATGCGCAAGTTGAAGAATATTACAACACAAAAACTGCGCGAATCAACATTAAAGCGCTTGGCGAATCAACATTCAAATACTTGCCATTACATTTTTAATAATTATGCTACAAATTGTTAATACTAAATAAAAATTGAAGTGTTTTTATGTAGTATATTAATTAAGATAACATTTTGTTAAAACAGAAGTTTAATTTTTATGGCTTTAGACTATTAAAACTTCTGATGAAAATCGTTGAAGTTTTTTCTGAATGGTAGACCAAAACCATGAGAAAAAGCAAAACGAAATCTAACATCATTTTTAAAATTAAATTTACTTTGAGCAGATCAAATGACTGTTCAAATATGAGCTTTAACTAATAGCCTAAAGTAAAAAAAATTTCAAATAGCGAACAAATGCGACAGATCGTCCAAACTTTAAGTTTATTTTACCCGCTGTCCCAAGCCCACGAATCAATAATGCCCACGAATCAAAGTCCTTCACCCTACAGTAATATAGGGATTTTGTGGTTGTGCAATATGTTTCATTTGAGCCGCATACATATCGCTTATACTTAAGTTTTTTTTATTATCATTAATATGAAATGAGAAATCGGTTTAAAGTTAAATTTTCACATTCTGTAAAGAAATATAAAAAAAATTAGATTGAATGTCTTAGGGGCGATCCAAATACTTATAGCTGGCTGAAAACAAGGACAATGAAACTCGACAACGTTCGCTATTCCTTGCTTGGGACAAGTTAACTAAGTTAATTCAATACTGCTTGGCTGCTGTAGCTATTTTATTTCTGTAAATCCTAACGTTATAAATCTTATGAATTCAATATAGATAACAATAATAAACTTACAAATAAGATCTTTCTAATACACAAATTAATCCCGACAACTTATTTATTTATTGTTTGTTTATTAATACCCGAAGGTTTTCTTGTTCATTGATAGTTTTTTAAATAATTATCTACATATGAATTGAAGCTTTCGTTAGAAACTTATGATATTTTGAGGTAGTCTGCGCAGCTTTTCTTTCTGTAAAAATGTTCTGTTAACTGAGGAATTGCAATTTCAACTAATTTTACAATACCTTATGTTTTTTAAGGATATTTCGCTTTCCTTACAAATAAGACTTCACAAATTTCCGACTTAACTAAATCTAAAGAAATCATCCAATTAGAAAACAAAATGGTTGAAATGAAAATTCTCATTACCTTCAGATTAATTCGAGTTGTCGAACCTCTAATGCGCTTTCAAGGTGCTGGTGTGAAGATGAAAGGAAGAATAATCAAAGCCAGCAAAGATTGATCGACATGATCAACTAAAAAGAAATAAAGTTTCGAAACTCTTAAAAGGAATACTTACCATTTTCATACTGCTTTAAAAGATCAGATGCCATGGCTTCATTTCGAATTTGTTTCACTTTTCTTATTATTTTGGAACTTATTTTTGATATCGAAGAACATCTGATGGCAAAGGAAGGATAAAAAATTACTATCAGCGGGGCCGAACTAAAAGATATGATGGCGATGGATACCTGCACCATGACATTCTACCCTCCGGGTTCAGTGAACAAGAATAAAAAAGCGACATTTATAGGAGTTAGTTTTTTACTGTCTGTCTAGAAATTCTATAATAGCCGGAGTATCGGGCTTTTGCACGATGTTTATTGTTGGGACCGACTTTCGGTAACAGACTTTTTTAATTATTTTTATTCAATTGAGGATTGGCGCTCAGCGACAAAAATTACTCAAATGATTTTTAAATTCATCGATAACCTTTTTGTAAAGATTTTGAGTTTTAAATAATTTTTCTTGTTGTCCTTAGGTGATGCTCCAAATTGGCTCTGATGTTGGTTGCAGAGGATTTGGATGGTTAAATGAAAGCACGTTAATGAAAGCACGCTACATTCAAGATAAAACATGAAAAAAATAATTTGCAATTTTGAAGTGTTATTCCATCCCATCCAGGGCATATCCGGAAAAGCGTGGTGTACAGAATTAAAGCCTATCAATATAGCTTTCACATTGTGTATACTGTTTTGCAAGAACACAACTTATAAGGAAATGACAGCATGATTCTGAAATGACGATTTCGCAACTAAATTCATTTTGTTCTCACAACAATTCACGATGAAATTTATATAGAGATTTGAGAGATCAACCATTGAATCAAGTGAAATGAGATCAACCATTTGATGAGAAATTGATTGTAACGATTGTACATAAATATTTCAAAATGATTCTTTGTGACGAAAACCCTTTCAAATTAAATAAACCCGAGAAACCAAAATTTTCATGCGGCTGCCATATGACTGCCACTTGCAAAGCTACATGTCAGGGCAATTTATTTATCTGGCGAAATCAGCCACTTGGCTGATTTGAAACGTACATGTAAATTTTGGTTTCTCGGGAAAGTTATGAATAAATAATCATTTAAAAATGAATTTGATGAAAAAAATGTTCATTTCTTGTTTCCATCTTCGCATTTTTAATTATTTTTCAAGTAAAACATGAATAAACGTAACTCATGTGGCTTTAATATATATGAAATGCAAGTTCTTCAGCTTATCTATCTTCATTTCACATTCTGCTCCGTCTCAGTCTTTCAAACTTGTGCATTAAATGTTTCCTGCTTAATGTGCGGTTCTTGAATATGTTTGAATATGTAGGAAGCTAAATTTTTCTTTCTCACAACTTTTTTTACCTTCCACAGCTGATTGTTGATAACTTTTCTTCTTTCTCTCATTTTTTTTCTACTTTTACGAAGAGGAAATAAGTAACAGGGGAAAAGTTTGTTAGAAAAGGAAATGAGATTCGGAAAAAGAGAATCGCAGCTTAAAGATACTGTCATCATAATAACACAAAAGATTCTTTCGAGTTTAGACTAAAAGAAAAAGTGTCACTTGTCGTGAACAAATTTACTTTATCTTGGAGACTTAGGCCATCATGAACATAATTAATTGAAAGTCAATACTCGAAGAAGATTCAAAGAATTTAACAATTTTTTCAATTTATCTAAACCTTAATATTAATTTCGTTCCTTATTGAAGTTTAGTCAAAGAAATGTAATCTCTAAGCCGGTTATCTTTTCTCTAATATAAAATGGCTATAACTCAATTTGTATTGTTCATTTTCAAGCACAATGTGAAGCGTTTCAAGTACTTGGTATGTACATGTTAAGAAGCAAATAAGTAACGACATGCAATTGAGAGTATCAAAAAAAAGGGAGGAATAAATTAAATTACAATGCGTTAGCATGTTTGTTGTTATCTTTATGGGGAACGAGTTGTCTGGGTTGGAAAAAGGATGATTGAGGTTACTACTAATGAAACTAAACAACTCTGCTTCAACTACTGGAAGTGATTCATTATTCGTTTATGTTGTTTCTTTCTATTAAAATAATATTAATTACTAAGAACTTTAGCAAAAAGCATTAAACTTATTTAATTGAATACAAAGAAACTTATGTTGTTATCATACAAACGTCTAATCTATACGAATTATTAAAAAAAAAAGAAGAATTAAACGTCACGTTTTATTTCCAATTTGATATTTTTAAGAATTTTATTATCTGCGTTATTCACAATATTTATATTAAATGAGAGACAAGCATTTGAATCATTCAATGTAGAACTTTCAAAGTGATTAGAGTTGACAAGTGAAGCTGATAATCAGATTTAATTTTTGTGGAGAGAAAACTGCTAAAAATTGGAATCATAATTGAAGTTTATTCACATTTGAAACATGACAAAATTTCCATTTTTGATGTGGTTCAGTTTAATATTTCAATGTCAATGTTTACCCACAAATTTCTTAACAAAACAATCTTCAAATATCAGAGATGAGAAGTTTAAATTAATTCTTTTACATAATAACGACATGCATGCACGATTTGAAGAAACTGGATTGTCAAGTGACCGATGTAAGAAAGCCGAACATAACAAACATTTATGCTTTGGCGGGTTTGCTCGTGTTGCTTCTAAAGTTAAAGAATATCGAAGCTTGTCGATGGATGGAAAAATCCCCAACGTGTTGTTTCTAAATGCTGGTGACACTTACACTGGATCTACTTGGTTTTCAACCTACAAAGATGTCATATCGGCAGATTTCTTGAACATTTTAAAACCTGATGTCATGGTAAAACAAAAATTAATAATTTCATTCCATTTTTTAATTCTCATTCCATTTAGTCACTGGGAAATCACGAATTCGACGAAGGAACTGAAAATCTTTCACAATTTCTACAGAAACTAAAATTTCCAGTCGTTGCAGCGAATGTCATCACATCAATGGACTCAAACATGTTTCCAGGACTTTTTCAACCATCGCAAGTTATTGAAATTGAAAAGTATAAAATTGGCGTTATCGGATATGTTACGCCAAAAACAAAGCAAATTTCCCCGTTAAACAATATTTCGTTCATTGATGAGATTTCTGCTATCAAGTAAAATTTCTCGGAATTTTTGATACTTTTCTTCATAATTAATCTCTAAATTTTATTTTCAGTGATGAAGCTGTCAGATTAAAATCCAAAGATGTGAATATTATAATAGCATTGGGTCATTCAGGAATTGATATGGATAAGAAAATTGCAGCTCAGTGTGAACATGTTGATGTGGTTGTTGGTGGTCATAGTGAGTATTTGATAATTTAAAATTATTCTCGATTTAGTGATCGATTTTATAAAACTTTAATCCATTCAGCTCACACATTCTTGTACACTGGTGCAGCTCCAAGCAAAGAGATACCTGAAGGACCGTATCCAACTGTAGTAATCAATGAAATTACAGGAAGACAAGTGCCAGTTGTTCAAGCTTACGCATTTACCAAATATCTCGGATATCTTGAATTGGAATTCGATGGATTTGGAAATTTAATTGAATTTAATGGATCGCCAATTCTTCTTGATGAAAATGTGGAACAAGATTCTGAAGTTTTAAATTTACTCGATGTTTACCGACAAGGAATTAAAGAGTTTGAAGTCATTGGAAGGACTGAAGTTTTTCTCGATGGAAAATGTCGAATTAAAGAATGTAATTTGGGAAATTTCATCACTGATGGGTTTGTGGATTGGTTTTCATCAGAATCGAGTATTGATCATGACGATGTCGTTGCCATTCTCGGTAGTGGTGCAATCAGATCGTCAATTGATCACGAACCAAATGCTGGGATAATCGACGAAGGTGATATTGAATTGACGATGCCATTCAACGATAATTTAACTCTTCTTGAAGTTACTGGTGAAGATTTGTTGCAAGCTTTCGAGAATTCTGTTCATCGATTTCTGGAATTTGACAAACCTGGCGAGTTCTTGCAAGTTTCAGGTATTCAAGTGACTTACAATCTCAATAATCCATCAGGTCAAAGAGTTGCAAGCCTCAAAGTTCGATGCAAATCATGCCAGAATTTCGATTTCCATGAAGTCGACTTGAAGAAGTCTTACGAAATCTTGACAAGCTATTTCATTGGAAAAGGCAGTGACGGATTCGAAATGTTCAAAGGAAAAATAAAGAAAATCTTCACCAAAACTTATCGTGACTCGTTAATAGATTTTCTAAGGAAAAAATCTCCAATTGCACCTGTGATTGAAGGAAGAATAAAATTTATCAGATAAAGTTCCATCACTTTCTTATTTAGTATTCTTTTTTTTGTGAAGTTAGAAGAAATTATCGAATTTTATTTATTATCTTGATGTGTTTAAAAAACATAAAATTGAAAGTTATTTAATTACTTATTTATAATTATTGATAATAAAAAATGACAAACGAATATTTTTTCAATTATATTGTTCACTTCACTGTTTGCAACTCTGCTTTCAGAACTTCCATTAATCCTTCCATTTCACAGAATGATTTTACGATTATTTTTCTTTATCTTCCTCCTTGCTTTCACTTTCCTTTGTCTCGTCATCTGGAAATTTGAAATCTTCTATTGAAAAATTTTATTTCTTGTGGTAAAATTGTTCATGATCTTGTGCATTTAAAGTTAGTGAAAGTTGTGCATGGAGAAATCATTAGATTTAGCTACCGTTCTTGTCTGGAACTTCTTCAGGTATTGGATTTGGCGGTGGTGCTGTTGGTGGAGCTCCTGGTGCTGTTACTGTTGGTGGTAATGGCTGATGAGGCATTGGAGGATGCATTGCCGGACCTGCTTGATATGGATTGAGGTTTTCAGCGTTGGGTGGTGGACCTGGAACAGGATAACCATGTGGAGCTGGGCCCATATGAGGTGGAGCATGATAATTCTGCTGATACGGTGGCATGTGATGTCCGTATGGATATTGTTGGAAGCCTTGTTGATAAGGCGGCATATGACCGTAAAATGGAGCCCTCGGAGGGCCTTGCGGATATCCCGGATACGAACCATGTGGAGGTAAATGAGATCCAGGAATTGGAATGCCAGGATGAGTCACTGTAACATTTGGCGGTGGAATTGATGCTTCCTGGCTATGTGGAATCGGTCCCGGAACACTCGAAGTGGGAGGAATTTGTGTAGCAGCTGGTGGAGCTGAATGCATAGCAGTTTGAGGTGGAGTTGTCGTTGTTTGTGGAATAATTGGTGGAGCTGCTTCCACGATCGGTTTGCTTTCACTTTGAGAAATTGCAGGAGTCTCAATTGGTTGAGGTGCTGGTGGAGACACTGCAACTGAAGTAGGTGCAACTTCGACAGGTTCATTAACAGCTACTGAAGTTGCTGGTGGAGATTCCTTCATGACAACAGTGCTTTTTGCCATCTCCTGTAAATGTTGAGGCTGGGAAGCCGTCGAATCGTTCGATTTGTTGTCATCCGAGTCAGATGCGGCTTTGATCGGTGGCTCAATATCCATTGGCTGTAATTCAAGATGATTACATTTTGATGTTGAGATAAAGTGAGATTGTAAACAGTCAACTCAAAAATTACAAAACAAACCAGCATAAATAGAAAAGAATGCAGAAGAAAAAGTTGAGTAAACTAAAGAATTTATTATTTCAATCGTTCATCATCTACAATGTCACAAAGCAAACAATCTTCCATTGCCAACCGTAAACTGTCAACATAAAAAACTACTTCTTGTTACGTTTCTCTTAAATCAAAATAAAATATAAAAGAATTTCAATCACTACAAAATAAAAATATTATTGATACACTTAAAGATAAAAATTAAAAGAAAGTTAAAAGGTTTGACTAAAGCAGATCACTGAAGACTATCAAACCTTAGATTTAAATAAGTTAAAGCTAGAAATACTCATGCAAATAACGTTGCAAAATTAAAAGCTTATCAATTAATGTCTACCACACGATTCTTTCATGTTCAACTTGTCACCGAAATAAAGAAAGATTACCTGTAAGTGCAGTACAGTCATCTGTGGTAAATCGATTTGTTTTTATTATTATTATTATAATTAATTTTTTAAATATTATTAAAAGTGTTCAAAGTGTGTTGGAGAAAATATAAAGAAAAGAAAAATGATCTTAGTGGAGTTAAACTAATCACTTTTGAAGTGATTTTCATGTTTCAAATGTTTCCTTCTTAAACTAAATAAATACGACAATAAATTTGACTACGTTAATTGTGCGCAAATTTAACTTCCCCCACCATTATGACAACCCTTACTCTATTTAATTATGAAATTCATAATTTTCATACAAAAATTCATCAGAATTTGTCTTTTAGAAAATCATCTCACCTCAGCTGTTGATTGGCCGGCTTCTGATGATGGCAATGGTTCCGATGTTACTGCTGGTTGTGCTGTATTCGCTTGAACTGGAACTTCATCTGATTTTGCTTGCAAAGGTGCCTTGTTTTGCTCTTCAATCGCACGTAATCTTTCACGTTTCATTGCTTCGTATTGTCTTTCGACTATTTTTTGAAAAGCTTCTTCGTCAACAGCTGGTTTGCAATGTTTTTTTAATTCTTCTTGGAAAAGTTCTGAAGATTCAACAAATTTTCTTTTCTTCGTGTCGAACTTCTCTTCAATTTGTTGCAGTTCAGCTTGAAGTTTCTTCTGATGCATTGCAAGTGATTGAACTTGACGTTTTAAGACATGCATTCGTTGTGTTGTTACAACCGATCTGACATCGGGAACAACTGCATCCGAGAAGATTTCATTGATCAATCTATGATTGCGCAAATAACGCGCATACGCGACTTGTTTGAATGAATATCCGTCGTCTTGATCTTCGTCATCTTCTGCTGGTTGAATGTCAATTCTACGATCTTGTTGACTTTTAGAACTTGATCTCGGTTGGTCGTGAACATCTCCGTCAGTTCCTAAACAACAACAATCAACATTTTAATTTCTTTTCATTTAAATTTAATTACAAATTGTGCAAATTAATGATAAACAACATCAACATCCAAGTTTAACATGCAGAAAAATGATGAAATTAACATACCAGACTTCTTGCTCTTTGCTGACATGTAAGCTAAGTATGCTGGTGAATTATGGTAAACTTTCAAACTCTTCTCATACTCAATCTGTAAATATTTATGACATAATGACCGAGTGTTGGTGTGATTTGGTGAGAAAAGACGAATACAACAAACAAATAAACATAAAAATTAGCTTATGTGAAGATCGTTTGATCATTTTATGATTTATTGAAAAATGGAAAGCTCGAAGTTTCATTTTTTATGAATCTTATCTAAAATTCTTGCTTGACCATCTCCCGAATCATCCAAGATTATCTCCACACCACCCACATACACGCACACGAAAATGAATGTTAATTTGTGCTTTTTAAGATCTATTTGTTTTAGGATCTTATCTACCTCTTTTGCGTTGGTAGCGAACCCAATTCATGTAGTCTGGTGTGGATCGATATGCTCTCATTTGATCAAGAAATTCATTCTTTGAAGTCAACCAGAAGTTTATTATGAAATCAAATCGAAAATATTTGAATAACTTACTTTTTCAGCTTCATACTCTGCGATGTATTCTTGTTTCGCTGTTTCTGGTAAATCACGCCACATCTGGAAAGACAAAACAATTTAAATAATTTACAATTTAAATTAGGAATGTCGACTTACATTTCCAATCTTCTTGCCAATTTCCCAAAGCTTCAATTCAGGGTAAGTGTTCTTGACACTGTCCCATTGCTTTCGTGAGTATCGCATGTAAGGCATGAGAGGTTTCTCTGGTGGTTTTGGAGGCTTTGGAAGACGAGATTCCAACTAGAAGTAATTACATTCATTAGTTTCAGTCATTTACAAACATTTTCTTCTGTTTCCGTCGATCAGACTTTTCTACTCACACTGGCAATGCTTGCTTTGCCCGCTTTTTGCGGAGTGAAAGCTGGATTTCCATGGAGAGAATGAAGGAAAGGACTTTGATCACGTCGATCACCTGGTCCGCCCCCAGACGCACGTAGACGCTCTGAATGGGAAAATCATGTAATTTAAAAAACAAATTATTGTCAGAGATTTTAAGTCAATTGCGAGATGTTAATGCGTGTCAATGAAAAGTTTGTTAACAAGCAAAGGGTAATGGACATGAAACAAGCTTAAATAAACATGAAAGAGGAGCAAATAAAGCGGTAAAGTTCATTGATAAGAAGCCAAGAAGCAATAATTATCATTTATCAACAAATGTTATTCATTAACATAAAAAATCTAATGGGAAAAATTACCTTTCAATATATTGAATGTCACAGGATGTCCAGCGGTCATGAGATCTGTAAAATTGTAGAATTTTGTTCGTTTTGACTAAAGTTTTAATCGATTAATTAATAACAACATAGAAATTATTTTTCAGCTCTCTTGATGTTTGCTGGATCTTCCATACTACGAAATTTAATTTCTTTTTCATTTTTAGAAATAAATAATGAGGACAGCATGCAAACAACATTAGGTGAATGGCGATAATAAGCAAGGTAAACATTTATGTGATGCATCCTAAATAATGTATCTTATATACTTTTTATAGCGTCCAGGATCAATCAGAAATTATTTTAATTTATCAATTTATTATTACATGCTAAGCGGCGTAAACTTTTATGATCAAAGAAACTTGAATTAAACTTACGAGAATTTGGTGCAATCGGCTTATAGTTTGGTAATGACATTATAGATCCAAATCTTCAACTAAAATTGAGAGAATATTTAGCAAAAAGTATTCTACGATCCTCCATTAAAGTTTCCATACCTGATTACAACAACAAAAATGCCGAAAATTTCAAATTAGATTTATGAGACAATTATAAATTCCGGTAATGAATTTTTATCTTTCTGATGAAGTTTCGTGGTCAAGTAAAGTAATTACAATATTTTTAACAATACAATTAAACTCTAAACTATTATTTTATTGAAAATTAAAATTTTTGCAAGCAAGATAATTTTTTGCTGTAGTAGTTTTATACCCTTGGAATCTCTTAAAATCCCCTCAGTTAAACAAATTTTTGTAAAATAATTTCTCTAAACGTTTAATTAAAAAAACTGCTTTCTGAGATGTCAGGCTTTAGTTTTGGAACTCCATCTACAACAACTTCAACATTACCTGCATTTGGTGCTCAAAGGTAATTTGCTTATTCACATGGTTAATAAATAAATTTATTTCATTTCAATGCTTCATTTTAGCACGCCAACAATGTCCTTTGGAACAGGTCAAGCTAATCCTGCAAATATGTCACTAGGAACACCAAAAACAGGTGGATTCAATTTCGGTTCTTCCACCCCAGCCACACAAAGTTCAGGGTTTTCACTTCCAACTGTCCAACCACAACCAAGCTCAGGTTTTTCATTCGGAACACCAACAGCGACTGTTCAGCCTCAACCACAGCAACCCCAACCTTCTACAGGAATATCTTTTGGGACACAGCAACAACAGCCATCAACAGGAATATCTTTCGGAGCTCAGCAACCGTCTACAGGAATTTCCTTTGGGACTCAACAGCCATCAACTGGAATATCGTTTGGAGCTCAACAAACATCAACAACTCAGCCACTATCACTTTCAACGTCTGCGTCACAGGCACAGCCAACAGGATTTTCATTTGGTCAATCTTCAACAGCAACAAGCACGACTTCGTCATTACCAGCTGCATCATTGTCTCTTGGAGTGACGCCTTTAACTCAACAATCTCAGCCACAACAACCCAGCACCGGATTAACTTTTGGCTTGCCATCAACACAAACTACATCAGTAACAAGTTCTGCTCCTACTTTATCATTTGGTTCAGCAACTCCTGCAACAACAACTGGATTAAATCTTACTTTGAATCCAACAAAAACAGCAACTGCTGGAATTTCATTTGGTCTTGCTCAACCACAGCCACAACAACAACAACCAAGCACTCAATCTTCATTCTTCGGTATGTCACAGCCACAACAACCGCAGCAACAGTTGAGTTTGTTGCCAACTCAATCAACACCAGCTACATCAACAATTGTTCAGCAAAACGTTGGACTTGGTGGTATTGACATGAACGCTACTCAACCAAAGGCGACTGAAGGTAAAAGTGAATCAACGAAAGTTAAAGAGACTCAAGTGCCAAAAGAAATTATTCAAACTGTTGATGATTTCAAGACATATTTGAAATTGCAGAAAACTCTTTCAGCTGAAATTGTTCGTACAACAGATAGAAAGTTGAAATCTGTTTCATCTGAAATTCAAAGATTGAATTGTGTTGTTCAAGATGCTGCCATAAATGTGGATAATAACAAGCTTGCTATAAAGCTTCTGAGGAGTGACACATCGAAGATTATTCAACATGCTGACATGGCACAAAGAACTCATGAAACACCAAGTGGTTTACAATTCGAGAACATTATGCCGCAGATATATTTTAATGAATTAATTCATAAATACGAACACGATCTTTTAACGCTTAAGCATCAAGTTGAACTCACTGAGAAGCATCTTCAGTCGTTGTCAAATCCACAGAACTTCTCTGCACAAGATTTAAAACGTGGATTGCAACAAATACATGAAAGTTTCATTGCTTTAGCTGGGAGATTACAGGAAACTCACACGAAAGTTGAGACACAGAAGGAGCAACATTTAAATTTGAGGAAATTTTTACTTCGTGACAATAAAAATGTGTTTGAAGAGAGTCAAGAAAAGCAGAATTCGTCTTCGTTAAACACATCGAAAGTTCAGTTTGGACCAAATCCTTTTTCGAACTCTCATCATGGATTAAATTTCTCGAATCAAAGTGGAAGACAATGGACTGGTAATCAACAAACGGTAACAAATCCATCGTGGCCAACAAATCAAACTGCTAATTCAATGTCTTTCTTCGGTGTTAAAAAGTAAATGAATTCTATTAATTTCAAAAAAAATTGTCATCATTTTGAGAGAAACTTTGTAATAAAATTTAATTCTTCTTATAAATTCTTTTTTTTTGTTTATTTGCTCTCTTAAATCGCTTGGGGATTTTAAAAGATTTCGTTTGTTTACATTTCTCGCATTAAGTTAAAGTAGTAAAGTTCAACTAAAATTTAAAAGTTCTCTGGTCTTTGGAAGAATTTAAATATTCTTTTATTATTTAAATAATGAGTCATGAATGTGTGATTAAAATTTATTTACCAAAAGAAGGAAATGAAAAATTCCTTTATGGATATAAGCGAAAAGAAGTTGAATTAAAATATGAAAATCAGTATTGTAAAACTAGTTTAAGTTATTTTGTAATTAGTTCAAGTGTCTCAAGATATGAACACAGTAGACTGAAATTCCTAGGATCATTTGGAGAATCTTATCATGAAGATGATGAAATCAGAATAACAACAAATGAACGAAACGAAATCGTTGATATTTTAGTTCATGACTTAGACAAAAAATGCCGGCAGGAAATTCTTATAATTCATTATGACAAGGAGAGATTTCTTAAATGCTACGACGAGCTATACAATCCTGTAGCATCTGAGGAAAATTTTGCAATATTTATAGCGAAAGCTTTGAAAACCGAACAAGAAAAAACGAACGAAGGAAATTTCTTTGATTATCTTTCCGAGCAAACTCACAATTTCCTTATTGCATTCTCATCATTATCAGCCAAAGTTCTCAATCCAATATTCCAAGTGTTTAATAGAACAGTTACATATCAGCATTGCTCCAATTGGCGAAGTTGTCTCAACGATGGTCAATCTAGAAACGGTTTTATTGTGCTTGATGTTCTATTGGGAATTTTAGTATTTCTGTTGATGAATCACATCCAACACACTGGCAAATATTTCATGGACTTAACTGAGTTAATTGTTAATCGATTGCGAATATTATTAGAGATGTTAGGTGAGTGGTAAAATATGCAAAGATAATTGTTAGAGTAAATATTTAATTTTAATTATTAAAATTTTTATTCATAGATGGATCACCGGCAGGTTTAAAACTCAATGTACAACTTAACAATTTTCTCTTGAGTTGTTTCATGTATCATGTTGAATTGTGGTGGAATTTTATTGTCATAGTCGAGCCAGCAGTTCATTACCTTTTTTTACCAATAACAATATTTGGATTGATGGGATTCTCGTTCCAATGTGCAATGTTGTGCGATGTTATTACACTCATCACTCTTCACGCTCATTGCTTTTACATTTACGCGGCAATGTTGTTTAAATTAGAATTGTATAGTATTCGGTCTTTGCTTCGAATTGTTTTAGGCAGACGATTGAACGTTCTGAAGAGTAAGTTTTTTTTAATTTATTTATTATCTTTGGAATAAATAAAATATTCATTATTAATTTAGATCGCGTTGAATCGCAAACTTATACAAACCGTCAGCTGTTTCTCGCGACTCTTTTCTTCACAACTCTTCTATTTTTGCTTCCAACGATCATCATTTATTACCTCGTTTTCGCATCGGTAAGTCAGCCTTGAACTTGCGAACCGCTAAGTCGTCTTATCTACTTTAATTCTCTCATCAACAGCTTCGACTGATTATTTATTGTGTCTCCTACATTCTTATGAGTATTCAGTATAATATTTTGAACTTTCCTTTCTACAAATATCTTCGTTGGATGACGGGATGCTACATTGAAGCTACAAACATTTCCATGACTTTAATTTCAAGCAGAAAAATTAACAATATTAACGTCTGTCAAATAAGCATAACAGTAAACTCTTCGGTGCCTTGGAAAACTTCTCCATTTGCGTTAAAACCACAAAAGAAACTCTCAAGGCCACTTTCAATAGCAACATTTGCGAAATTTTTAATTAAAGGCGAAATGATGGCATTTTTATCGCATGTCGAAGACTAAACTACCAAAATTATAATAAATAAAAAAATAAATGTTCGTATTTGTTTTTGTTACTCCATCGCAATTATTATTGATGTTCAAGAAGCGAACACTTATCAAAACACAAATGAACTGGTTAACTATCTACGTGACAAAAAATATCTTTGTATGCTTCCATGTAAATATAAACAAATCGCAACAGATCAATTCTACACAACAAAAGGTTAAAGAACTGCCAAAGATTTCTTGTTTGTTTGTGTATAAAAGAATGATTCACTCAGATAATCCTCCGGAGTTCTGATTTTGGTACATTTAACTAATCTTCGTATCGAAATATTCAAACGAATTCACTGTTACAAAATATTTTTAATCAAAAAGAGAATTTTTTAAGATGTTTAAGAATGCGGAACTTTTGGATTTTTTTATATCATTTTTAATCAGATATCCAATTAAGAAAATGTTCATGTCTTTAATTGTTTTCCAAACATAACAAAATTGAACGTTTTTTACTAATAATCAACCCATACTGACCTACCACAAGTTTAGTTTTTAAAGTCACGTGAATCATCCCTCATGTTATGAATCTTCATTAATAATTCAGCATATTTTTTAATCTAAAATTTATCTAACATTAAGCGTCATATTTAATAACTGACCTTGATATTGAATCGATCAATGTCATTAAATGATAAACATCAAAAATTATTTCTTTAATTAATTTAATTTCTTTTCATTTAAGAAGACGCATGTTGAACTTGTTATTGTAATTTATATTTTTATAGAAAATGAAGAAGTGTAAATATTTAAAAAGCTCAATAAAAATTCAAAACATTATCTTTGTGTCTCTTTTTTGTTAAAAGTTTACTTTTATCGCAAATAAATTAATCGAGTTTTATCAATGCGTGACTTTGTGTTGAATGATTTTCGGGTTTGACCTAACTCGTATGCGCATTTTAATGATGTGTCGTCGTCGTTTTACCAGGGTAGCGTGAAAGACTATTAACATACAAATACACTCGAAATAGCTTGTAATCGTTCTATGTCTGAAAAAAGAAACAAAATATTTATTGCGCTCGATTCCATGAGTGTAAAAAATTTATTTTCTCGTCAAAATTTCAGTGGTGAATAAAATATTCTCTGCGGTTTTCAATTTTTTCGGTGCCTTCAGTTCAGATCGTGCTTCTTGCGGGTGCAGACGGAAAAAGTTTAGTTTTTTTTTCGTGACATTTTATTATTTTGTAAGAAAAACAAATTGATGTAACATATTGATAAAATACTTAATAAATAAAGTAGCAGTTAAATGCGGTTACACTACTAATAACTGATAAAAGAAAGCATCACAAATGGCGAGTGGAATTAATGTTCAGTTTGAGGAATTATCTTATAAAGTGAAATGTGGCACAATAAACAAAAGTAATGCCCTAATTTTCAACGTCATGACTGATAAAAACATGCTCCTGTTCTATTTTTACTTCAACTTTTTATTTCAGTTGATAAGACTATACTTAATGGAATCAATGGAGAATTTCGTGGAAACGAACTTTCAGTTATCATGGGTCCGAGTGGCTGTGGGAAAACATCGTTGTTAAATGTTTTAACTGGATTTGTGAATGAAGGAATCGAAGGTACACTGAGGATAAATGGTTCCAAAAGCATGTTCAAATCAATTAGGAATCAATCAGCTTACATCATGCAAGACCAAACTCTTTACTCGCTTTTAACCGTCCATGAATCGATGATGTTCGCAATAAAGTTCAAGACAGGGAAGGCAATGAATACAAAAGATCAAATTAATAAATGTAATGAAACTTTGAAACGACTTGGACTTTTCAATCAAAGTCAATTATACGTGAAAAACTTAAGTGGTGGTCAACAGAAGCGATTGTCAATTGCAATAGAAATTGTTGACGATCCAAAAATTTTATTTCTCGATGAACCAACAACCGGCTTAGACTCATCTTCATCAACACAATGCTTGTCATTGTTAAAACAGCTGTCGCAAGAAGGGAAGACAATCATTTGTACGATTCATGCACCATCAGCTTTGATGTTTGAAAAGTTTGATCACATTTATGTGTTGGCTGAAGGAAGTTGCATCTATCAAGGATCAAGTCGAAATGTCGTTCCATTCCTTACAAGCCTGGATCTTATCTGCCCTGAATCCTACAACCCTGCTGATTATGTTTTAGAAATATCAACAAACGATTATGGTTTTCATAATCAACGCTTGACAAAATGCATTCAAAATGGATTAAACGAAGAGTTTAGAAATCAAACGAAGGATGACCAAATTAAAAATTATCTCGAATTACTTCCAACTAAGAAAAAATCAAAATATTCAGCAACATTCTTTTATCAATTTTCTCTTCTTTTACAACGAAACTTTACTCTTATTCGACGTGACAAAAGCAACGTTATAATGAGATTTATGGTCAGCTTTATAATGGCAGTTTTTTGTGGTTGCTTCTTCTTCAGTGTGGGACAATCAGCAACACGCATCTTTGACAACTTCAAATATATTTACGTCTCATCTCAATTCTTAACATATTCTGCTTACTACTCAATAATGGTCAAATGTAAGTAGAGAACGAAAGTAAAAATTTTAAATAATTTTAGATGTCAATGTTGATCATTTGTGAATCGTGAAAAGTCGCATTTGTTTGTCTAGATAATAGAAACAATGACAAAGCATTTTTTTTGTTTGCGAATTTTATGAACATTTTTATTGGCCAGGGATGTCAGAATCTTTATAGACTTGAGCTTGGTTTATCGTCAATTTACATAATATATAAATCTAACGCTTTGGATATTTGAGAAGAGTTTCTTTTGACGTCAACCAAGAGTCTTGTTAGATAATTTAAACGTTTAACATTAATTTAGAAAACTAAACACTTTTATAATTTTTCACACTTAATGTTTCATCTTAATACGCATTTGGATAGCTAAACTGCGATCATCACCCTCAGAATATTCGTTTTACATTGAACTTCTTTATCAGTTTATGTCAATTTTCATTTGCAATTATAAAGAGACATGGGCCTTTCCACTAAATTAATGTAAAACTAGTCAAATGCACATTCGGGTTTTTCTATGACCAAATTTGTTTATTAAAAATCGCTCTGCTACCAATTTAATCGTCTAAAACAGGTTTCTGTTTTGTTTTTAATCTTGCTACATGTCAAATTAAGTTCAGAAAAGCAATCTGTCTAGATGAAAGAATTAAAATCTTTTTATGCTTTAATCAGTTCCTTTAGATCTGCCGATTCTTAGAAGAGAACACTTCAACCGATGGTATGCAACTGGAAGTTATTACTTAGCGCTTTCCATAGGGGATTCGCCAGTTTCAATTATTTATGTTTTAATTTATTATGGCGTGTCGTATATAATGACTGGACAACCTTTAGAATTTCATCGGGTAACGCTTGTGATCTCTGTGTGCATAATTAACTCCTTTGTGGCGCAAGCTTATGGGATGCTTGCTGGTTCACTTGGTGGCTTAATGGTAAAGTGTCAATCCACATTTTAAACAACTTTAAGCAACATTTCAATCATCAAACTTTGCTTTTATGTTGTTGCATTCCACGTCTCATTAACTTTACTCAAATTTTATATTTTTCATTGTAGAAAACTCTCATAATTGCCATGTTTATTATGGTTCTGCACATAACATTTGCTGGAGTTTTAGTGTTGGAAAAAGATGCAATTCCGCCAATGTCATGGTTCTTCGATTACGATTTTCTCAAGCACACAAATGACGTTCTTCTATTTGCTGCTTTTGGATGGAATCGAAAACGATTAGATTGTATTGACGAATTCTATTGTCACTTTGAAAAGCCAGAGAAGTTTCTCAAGATGATTGGAACGCCAAAAAATCCAATTTCTAATTTCTTCACAATCTTTCCCATTGTTTTTATTATCGTCCATCTTCTGACCTTTTTTAACATGAACAGGCTAATTAAGCGTTCAAAATAATCCCTTATAAAGAACCTTGCCTTGAAAAACTTGTCTGAATTTTATTTAGAAAATAAACAAATGATTTCATGCTTTAAACATTTTTCAAAAAAAAAAACTTTTTTAGAACTTTACTTTGTGAATAGTTGTAGTGTTAATTTTTTTATTGAATATTTATTTTAAATTGCGTACATTTTTCGAATATCTTTTGTCATTCCAGCTATATTTGAAGAAAAAATTTTGTTGACAATGAAGTGACGAATGTTAATATTAACAGAAAATAAATTGATAATTATACATAATAAAATATCGATTACGAGAAATTGAAGCACTAAAAGTGATCGCAGTTCTTGAAAAGAAGTTTCCGGGACTTCAGGGCTTTCAACATGAACTTTTAATCTTATCAGTTGGTGTTAGAAGACAAATATTTGAGTCATCTTCTTATCAAAACTCTTAAAACTGTTTATTTATAAACAATTTCAATGCTTTTATCTCTTACTGAACTGATTTGCAACTCATGTTTCAACCTGGATTCAGTTGTTGGATAATTACGCAAAGCGTAAAAAGTATCAAATTTCCAAGCTCGATCGATAAAAACAAAATACGAGGAAATTTCTTTCAGTTACTGAATAGTTTTTAACGTGATCGGTTGCAACAGAACTTGCATCAAAAATGGAATCGCAAGTGAATGAAAAAACTCCGATGGTCCCTGTTGGAGATCCAGGTTAATAAATCACAAAATATTCTTTAAAATAACTGGAATAATTTATAGAAAATATTTCTAGGTCCATCTTATGTTCTTCCGGGTCATCCACCTCGTTTACGTGAACGTCAAGCAAAACAGTTTCAATGTTGCATTTGTACAGGACTTTTGTAAGGCTTCATTCTTCCATTTTTCCTGTTTAAACATTTCAAAAGTTTTCATAAATTTATTTAAATTCATCTTTTCTATTTTAGATCAGCTTTCTTCATGGCATTAATTATAGCAGTTACGTACACATTATGGGGACCTTCAGTTATAAATTTCAGAAACTCAACAGAAGCTAATGACACTCGAATAACAATGGAAGCAGACAATCAACTGCCAACAAATTTCTTCATTCTGTTTCCATTAACCGACGAACTTCAAACAAATTGGACAATTCAAGAACCAAATGAAGAAGAATTGAAGAAAGCACTCGATGCTGGTAAAGAAGCTTTAGGTGATAAGGAAATGATTGAAGAAATTATTCTTGCACCAGCATTGAACACTCCAACATTTCGTCATCAACGAGCAGTTGCAACCACTCACGTTTCAAGACTTGCATCTAAACGTGGATATGTTGAAGATCATGCAACCAAATTTTTACTTGAGAAATCTAACAATAAAAGAAGTTACAAAAAACGTTGGAATGTCGGTCGAGGTCCAAATTCAAATTTAACAAAAACTGACTCAATCAAATGTCGAACACAAGGAAAATATCGAAATTTTGATGGTACATGTAACAATCTTAAACATCCACGATGGGGCTCAGCTTACATTCCATTTCGTCGAGCTCTAAATCCCGATTATTGTGACGGTGCAATGTCACCTCGTTGTGCATTTGATGGAACGGAACTTGCATCAGCTCGAGAAATTTCGATCACAGTTCATCGTCCATCTTACTATACTGATCCACAATTTACCGTCATGTTGGCTGTTTGGGGACAATTCCTTGATCATGACATAACTTCGACTGCTTTGAATCAAGGTCAAGATGGTGAACCAATTGAATGTTGTGGAGATTCCGATCCAAAGCATCCTGAATGCTTTCCTGTGCCATTGGGAAAAGGCGATCCATACTTTGATGATTATAATCTCACGTGCATGAATTTTGTAAGAAGTGTCCCAGCACCGACAGACTATTTAGGACCACGAGAGCAGTTCAATCAAGCGACAGCTTTTATTGATGGTTCTGTTGTTTATGGATCAACAGAAGAGAAAGTCAATGAGTTGAGATCATTTCAAGATGGTTCATTGAAAATGTACGTGACAGTCAACAATCGAACACTTTTACCAGTCAATGAGAATCCTCGTGATGGTTGTAATGAAGCTGATGAGAACGCGAAAGGAAGATATTGTTTCGATTCTGGTGATGCAAGATCAAATGAGAATCTCCATTTGACATCAATGCATTTGTTACTCGCCAGACATCACAATTATTTAGCGAAAGGATTAAAACGAATTAACTCCGATTGGGATGATGAGAAACTTTTCCAGGAATCTCGAAGAATTCTCGGTGCTCAGATGCAGCACATTACTTATAATGAATTTTTGTCAGTCATTATCGGAAAAGATGCAAGTGAAAAGTTCGGGATTCTCTCGACACCTGAAGGTATGAACGACACTTACGATGACAATGTGAATCCATCAATGGCGAATGAGTTTGCCGCAGCTGCTTTTCGTTTCGCTCACACATTGCTGCCTGGTTTGATGAAAGTCACAAAGGAATTGAATGACACGGAAGAATCAATTTCACTTCACAATATGTTGTTCAATCCTTACTCCCTTTATCGACCTGACGGCTTGGATAACGCCATTCGAACAGCAATGAATAACTCACTGGAAAAGTCAGATCCTTACTTCACAACAGAATTAACCGAGAAACTCTTCGCAAAAGATGCTTCACCAATGATTTGTGGATTAGATTTAGTGTCGCTTAATATTCAACGTGGTCGGGATCATGGGCTACCTGCTTATCCAGAATGGAGAAAACATTGTCGACTACCTAAGGTTGACACTTGGGACGATCTTTCAAAAGCTATCGACTCTCAATCATTTAAGACAATTAAGGAAATTTATAAGTTAGTGAATATTAAAAAGTTTTTAACGTTTTAATATTACAAAATATTTCATAGATCACCTCAAGACATCGACATTTACACAGGAGGGTTGGCAGAAATGCCAGTAAAAGGAGGCATAATTGGACCTTTATTGACCTGCTTAATTGGAGATCAATTTGTACGGTTGAAGAAAGGCGACGCCTTCTGGTATGAGAGAACAATCGGACAGCAAAAATTTACAAGAGGTAGAAATAAATTAATTTTGTTTTGGGGATTTTATTGAATTCTATTTTTCATTGACATAGACCAACTCCATCAAATTTTCAACACAACATTATCGACGATTATTTGTCGTAATTCGGATGCTGTTGAATATTCTCAACGTTATGTTATGAAGCGAGTATCTAAAACTAATAAGATGGAAAAGTGCGATGAACTCGATACTTTTGACTTTGAACCATGGAGAATGAAGCAAAAGTCGAATAAATTAGCACGAGTTGAAATTCCAAGCGATCAATCAAAAGCAAATGTAATAAAAAATTAATTTGATCTTATTCTAATTTTTATTTCATGATATTCTTACACATGATTGAATAAAAATAATAAAAAATATTCATAAATTAATTAATTATTCTTATAATGAAGTTTGCTTAAGTTTTATTTGGTTTCAGGGTGTATCGTTGAAAGGACTCGATAAGATTCCTTGAACATTCATAACATTGTCATGCTCTATACTTGTGTTATCAGCTTTCGTCACTATCGATGTCATACCGCATGTCATTGTAGACATTGACATGTACGAGCTGATGCAAGCAGCTAGTAAGATTACAAAGAAAAAAATCCAGAATGATGAAAAACAAATTCTTCTCAAGCGTATCCAACTTGGATCAAGAATGAAAGGAATCAGTTCTTCATATGTTAATGTTGATTGAACTTCATTGCTGCTTTAAAAAAGAAATGAAAGAAAAGAGAAGAATTTCAATTTGTTAGTTAAATTTTAAATAGATTTAATGATTCATCATAGATCATGACATTCAGAACAATTTTTCGCAAACAATCAAGTTTACTGATAAGAAATTTATTTTCTTGAGGAAGAAAAATAAAAAAATTCTTCAGAAGGGAAGTTAAAAATTGAGGTTTTCGTTTCATGTTCACGGTGAAAAGAAATTGCTTGTTTAGCTATTAGAAATAATTTCCAACTGATAACAGTTCTGTTAATTAATAAATATTTCATAAAAACTTATTTAGATCAATTGCATCGACAGAAGTCAAGGTGATGTCAGCTGATCTTGAAAAGTGTCATGAAATTTGAATAGAAATCATTAATTGATTGCACAAAGGAAGTGATCGTAATCGTGTGTACTTAACTGAATGAATGTTTATTTATTTATTTATTTCAAGGACTTTCAAATAAATAAACAAGGAAAAGTAATTGACGAGTTTCATCATTGGCAAGTTTTTGTGTTATTGAAATTTCATCTCAAGTGTTAAGTTGTTTGATTCTTATAAGAAGAATTAATTGAATTGCTTTTCTGATAACTTATCTACTCAGAGTTCTACACTTCATTGACCTTTTAATGAAAGGAAACTTCCATCGAGAAAGAAAAACAAATCAAAATGACGTTTTTGGGTCAATCAAGTGAATCGCTGATCGATGTTTTATTTAACATTTTAATGACAATTATTCATGAATTTATTTCTAAATTCTTATCAAAACTTACTTGTTTTCGTCATCATATTCGATGATCTTTTCCTTTGGAATAACAACAACAATCTCGTCAATGTGCTTCACTAAAAGCGGCGTAACTTCGGTTGCCATTTGTAACTTTAAGAGTTCCCTCAATAATCACCAAAAACTTTTGATTCGAACTCTTCTTCGGTGCTTTGCCGCTTTTAAAAAGTTTAATAAAAATTTCACTTGACAATTTTGCTTTGATCGAGTTCTTTCATTATCACTTGTCGAATGGCTGCAAAATCTCATTCACACCGAAAGATATGAGCCAAGAATTTAAATGTTCTGCTTAGAACTTTATCAACATTTGGTACAAAATGTTGGAAACTTTCTGATTTCTTTTTGTTGAAATAAGAAGAGAAGAAAAAAATTGTCACGAATCCAACGAACTATTGATAGCAAATGATTTGATTGTTTTAGATTAGAAGAAGTGAAGAACGAGAATGTTTCAGTGAATAGGAAAACATTACAAGCTGAGAGTAAGACAATTTAATCTCAAAGCAGACAACAAAACTGCATTCCTTTATTTCTCTCAATCAATGTTTTAGTCTATAAATTTGTTAAATACACATTTTATGTACTTAGGTACTCAAAAGATTAGAAAAAGGTTTATTTTATTTTTAGGATCAGTCAATATGTACTTGGAAACATTTTTCGGTTCATTTATAGCTATCGGTCGTGTCTGCCCTTCTGACGTGACAAAAATGTTTACTTTCTTCATTTATGATTATCATTTATGGAATGAATGAAAGGATTATGTCATTTATGAAATGAATTCATGTACATAAGTCTAGAAGATTGAAATGCATTTAATGGCAATAAACAAATTAAAAAATAACTTAAAAATTTGATTAAATAATTTTTTTATTTTAAGTTTTTCAACTAAAAAAAAGAACTTTTGATTTAGAATTAGAAAAAAGAAAAATGGCGAAAGTTAATGACCGAAAGAGATCGCAACTAAAAACATCACGCGTCTCATTATCTCAATGACCTTCCTAGTAAATTTCCATTTTCAATTGTGAGCGAAATATTTATGAGTAATCATTCAATGTAAGATAATTTTTAATAATGAAAGAACGAGTTGGTTGAATTAAAGAAATTTTATTCTTATTAGAAGAAGAATTTCTTGTACAGTTGCAAGCTTAACCATGTTTGTTGTAATATTTCGTTGCTTTACTCTCACTTGTCAGAAAATACTGAATTCAATGTTATCGTTGACAATCACTATTGCCTAAAGAAGCATTAAAAGTTCCACAAAGTATTGATCGATGCGATTATTGATCAAAGAAAATTTGATGAAATGTCGTCTCATTCTTTGTTTTTATTACTCATGAAACTTATCAACATCTCAATGACTTTTCAAAACTCAATTCATACTGCACAAGCCTCAGTAGAAAAAAGGTAAACAATTTCCACAAATAAAAGTGCAAAATGAAAGAGATAGACTCAAATGAGACTTTGTAAGTGTTAGTTACAATTCAATTTCCAGTGGCGGCGTGACAGTTACTTGTACGAGAAATTACATATTTGGGAGGAAATATTTTATGCATAAAAATAAACCACCAGATATTTATGATCCTAAGTTTTTCAACATCACAGAATTTATTTATTTACTGCATTTGTATGTGTTCATGACGTTAAGTATATAAAAAGCTCTGACCATGCTTTCAATTCGATGAATCATTCACACGATTATGCTTTTCAATTGATAAATGTCTGTCAAACAATCTCCCGGTTCTGTTCATATAATGCATGATAATAATTATTAAAAAAGTCATATCTGTATTGATGTGTGAAATATAAACGATGCCTAACAAGCAACACTTGATAACTTGATATGACAAAAAAATTGTTTGTAATTACATGACTAGAGATTTTTTATTTAGTTCTTCATTGGAGTTTGTTTGGGAAGCACCTTTAGAAAATTGTCTTCTTAATAATTTCGAATTGTGTTCAGGACAAGATAAGATAAGCTTAACTTGATACGTGATGGGAATATTTCTAGCACTTGTGATTGCTACTGTTGTAACACTCTATTGGTTTTTCAAGAGAACATTCAATTATTGGAGTAATTTGGGCATTCAACAATTTCCTACAACCTTTCCTGAAGGGAATTTTAAGGGAGTTGGAAAGACACAAAGCATAGCAGAATTTACAGTTAATTATTATAGAAAAACGAAAGAAATAAATGCTCGATTCAGTGGTCTTTACATGTTGATTCGACCTTCATTGTTGATTGTAGATTTGGATCTTATTAAAACAATTCTAATCAAAGATTTCAATGTATTTCCGAATCGAGGGAATTTCCATAATGAAAAAGACGATCCTATTAGTGCTCATTTGTTCAATCTCGAAGACGATCCATGGAGAAATTTGAGACAAAAACTTACGCCAACTTTTACAAGTGGAAAACTTAAGATGATGTTTGGAACAATTTCTGAAGTCGCTGATAAGCTTTTGCAAGTCATCGATAGACAAATTGAAGCGACTGGGCAATTGGAAGTTAAAGATACACTTGCACGGTTCACAACAGATGTCATTGGAACGACAGCTTTTGGAATCGACTGCAGCTCACTTGAAGATAAGAATTCAAAGTTTTATGAAATGGGAACGAAGATTTTCAATACACCGGGACCGTTTGTTAAAAGAATTTTAATGAATTTATTTAAAGAAACCTCAAAAAAACTGGGAGTTAAACCCGTTCCAGAGGATATTTCCAGCTTCTATTTGGAAATTACCAAACAAACTGTTGAATATCGTGAAAAAAATCCTCAAATTAACCGACAAGATTTCATGAATTTACTTGTTGAATTAAAACAGAAAAATATTTTAACAGTCGAACAAATTGCCGCTCAAAGTTTCGTCTTCTTCTTAGCTGGATATGAAACAAGTTCAAGTACGATGACTTATTGTATGTATGAACTTTCAATTAACGAAAATATTCAAGAAAAAGCAAGGCAGTCGGTTAAAGATGCAATGAAGAAACATGAAAATCAATTGAATTATGACTCAGTTGCTGATATGGATTATCTTGAACAATGTGTTGATGAAACTCTCAGAAAGTATCCAGTGGTTGTTAATTTACAACGAACATCTAGAGAAGATTACAGAATCCCAGATTCTGATGTCAATCTTCCAAAGGGCTCATCAATTGTTATTCCTGTTTATGCTATCCATCATGACGCCTCAATTTACCCAGAACCAGAGAAATTTATCCCTGATCGATTCACCACTGAAGAGAAAGCAAAACGACATCCATGTGCATACATTCCATTTGGCGAAGGTCCCAGAATTTGTAAGAATTTTCGAGTTTTAAACATTTTTTATTAAGTCATTAATTAAAATTCCTCAACAGGCATTGGCATGAGATTTGGCATTGTCGAAACAAAACTTGGACTTGCAAAACTTTTGCTTAACTATAAATTCACTTTAGATCGATCAAAGACTTCCGTTCCATTGAAGATCTCACCAACTCAGTTCGTTCTGACTCCAACTGAAAGTATTTACTTGAACATGAAAAAAATCGAAAATTAATTGATGTGTTTGACGGTTTGATAAAATTTGCCGGCAAATATCAGATAATCTAGTAATGGTGACTAATTATGAGTTGAGTCAACAGCAATAAATGTTTGATTAATCAGTAATCATACACTAAGAGTTTTGTTTTTATTTTTACTTTCCACGTTGATATTATTTTGCAGTCACATTTGAAAAAACATAAACAAGTTTGTGTTGAAACGCCGGTTAAAGTGAAGATAAAAGCTTTCAAGTATTTTTTTAAAAGCTTTTTGTCTGGTAATACATGCTCAGGTAAATGCATACAGCTAAGTGCACAATTCAATAAATGTTTGTGTGTACTTTCAAGTAAGAAGAAACTTTCTAGGTCACATCAATATTCAGGTTTATTATCATTACAAGTCTTGTAATAATCAAAATGACATACTCATACTTATAAATCAAGAAGTAACTACAAAGTGGGAAATAATATTCTTCACTTAGATATACAAAAAAACCTGAGTGTTCTCCTTCCAGACAACTTGCGTTACGCAATATAGAGAAACGTTTGAGCAGCTTCCAGTACTTCTTTTCATGATAACGAATTCATTATTTCAGTTAAGCTACAACACTTGTGGAGGCAACAAGTTGAAGTAAATGTTCTTTGTCTTGATATAATAATTATCTTCTGAACTCAGCGATCATGAGCAGTTTAAAACATGATTTTGGAATACAATACGCAGGAATGATTTCAAATATTGAAGACATTTTATTAACATGGAAGGACAGAGTTAGTAAGTATAATTAAAGTGTTCAATTGTTAGTTTAAGTAACTTGTTTATCAACTTTCATAACTTTCTAGCATTATCAAAATCACCTTCAAAAGTTGCTGTTTTAACTGGTGGTAATCGTGGAATTGGAATTCATGTTCTGAAAAAATTACTCGAATGTGACATGAATGTCGTTCTCGGTACGTTGACAATTCATATTCGTAAAGATTTCTTTCTGAAATATTACTTAAAGGTGTGCGAGATCCAATCGCATCAAAAAAAGCTGTTGAAGATTTCATAAAAGATTCAACTATGAAAGGAAAAGTTTTTTACGAGAAATGTGATACTGGCGACTTGTCATCAGTTAAAAACTTTGCTAAAAATATTCAAGACAAATTCTCTGCTATTCATATTCTCATTAACAATGGTGAGTGAAGTGACGACTTCTTTTGTCAATTTATTTAAGTAATCAATCTTATTTACTCAAAGCTGGAATATTGTTTGTTCCATACCAAAAAACTAATGACGGCTTCGAATCACAAATGGCTGTTAATTATTTGGGTCATTTTATGTTAACTCATCTTTTAATGCCGCAATTGATTGCTGGGTCACTGAACAGCGATGGAAAGAATTCTCGTGTTGTTAACGTTTCTTCATGCGCGAATGAAGTTGGTCGCTTGAACTACGATGATTTCAACTACGACAAGTATTACCACTCAGGCTTAGCTTACGGTGACAGTAAACTGGCTCAGATTGCTTTTACTAAACATTTGGACAATCTCTGTCGAGAAAACAATTGGAAAGTTCAGTGTCATGCAGCTCATCCTGGAATTGTTGACACTGAAATATACAAGCATTCAGTTTGGAGCAGTTTAAAATACGTCCGACGTTTATTTTTCAAAGTTAACTTCAAATATTTATTTATTTTTTTTATTTTAAAAATTCAACTTAACAATTTTCATTGTCTTTTCACAGACCGCTGAACGAGGATCAAGAACGGTTGTTTATGCTGCCATATCTCCAGATCTTGAAGATGCTGGTGGAAATTACTTGAACAATTGTCGAATCTCTAAGCCGAACAAAATCGTCAACAATAAAGACGAATGCAAGAAATTTTTTGACTTCACTTGTAACATGCTTGGCATTGAAGATTTTGGGAAAGTTTAAAAAAAATAAATAATGACGAAGCAGACTTAAGTCTTTTTACGTGGTCATGAAATGAGTTTGTCTTTGAACTTGTAAGAAGTGAGTAAACATGGTAATGTGTAAGTTGTATTAATGTAAGTTATAAAATGTGTTCTCGTAAAAGCACTTTTATGTAATAAAATTATAAGAAAATTAATAAAGATTCTAAAAGAAATTAACAAAGTTGACCTTCATGTAAGGCGTTAAACTAAAATACCTCCGAGTTTACACAATTCTCATCGGAAACTCCGAAGTTTTAATCTTTCTCACTCTTTTTTACACTTCATTCGCAAGCAAATGCGTAATTTTAATTTTTTCTCTATTTTCTTACAGTCAGTAAATAATTTACAATCTCCCTCAGTGCTAACAGTACAAAATTTCAATTCGGCTTCGAAAGACGTGGAACCATTTCGTGAAGTGCTCTGTTTAAAATAATAATAGAAGCAACAACAAATTTAAAAAGTATTAATTGTGTTGAAGATTGGGAAAACGTACAAAACAATTCCAGTTAATTACAAATTCAGTGTTTGTCGACTTCTATTGAATCTTTGACTCTGTCACTCGAAAACTTGTGAATTTAATTTAAATACTTGTAATTGTTGAAGTAAAATGAGCTTTTTAGTGATAGCATTTGTTTTGTTAGTGACGTTATTCTCATTTCTTAAATATTTTAAATCCAATGATTTTCCTAAGAAATGGAGAAAGTTAAAGTTTGAAGCTAGAATGAGTGTGAATGGAATGATTGGAAGCACAATTGATCTATTTTATAAATCTTTCGACAATGTTGGTGAGTGACTTTTAATCTTTTCTGTTCCAATTTCAATCATACTAACTGAAAGTGCTTTAAAGTTTTATATCCAAAGCCTAATAAAGTCGCAGTCATTACGGGTGGAAATCGTGGATTAGGCTTAGCAGTTATTCAAAAGTTTCTCGAATGTGACATGACAGTTGTGATGGGTGTCAGAAACCCTGAAGAAAGCAGAAGAAGTGTTGAAAAAGCTTTTGAAAAATTGTCATTGAAAGGGAAAGTTTTGTATGAGAAATGTGACACTGGAGATATGTCGTCAGTGCGAAGTTTTGCCAAGTCTGTGAAGGAGAAATATTCAGCCATTCATGTGCTTGTGAATAATGGTAAGTTTAATGTAATTTGAAATATTATTAAGTTGTGGTCAATGAAGAAACCGGTAATCGTTTTTTTAATCTTATTCACTCATTGGATGTTTGTCTTGGTAGCGGGAATTCTCTCAGTTCCCCGCGTCATAACAAAAGACGGTTTCGTCTCGCAGATGGCTGTGAATTACTTGGGTCATTTCTTGCTTAATCATTTACTTATGCCGCAAGTAATTGCTGGATCAACAAAAGAACAAAGTTCAAGAATCGTGAGCATCACTTCTTGTGTACACAGTATTGGTGAGATCAGATACGATGACTTCACTTACGCGAACTATTATCGTTTCGGAATGGTTTACTCCGACAGCAAATTAGCCCAGGTCATGTTTTCATCGTACCTTCAATACATTTGTAAACAAAACAATTGGAATGTTCAAGCACATTCGGCGCATCCAGGTAAGTTTTTAATATCTTCAAATAAATTGAATACAACATGTAGATTAAAATTCACAGGTATTGTCAACACTGACATCTTCAGCAAATCTTTCATGGGTCCATGGGCTAAACTTCCAATACTCAAACATTGGTTCAAAGTAAGTGTGACAATATGAACAAAAATTTGCGAAATCTAATGAAATTTTACCATTTAAAAAAGTCTCCTGAACGAGGTTCTCGTGCTGTTGTTTATGCTGCAATATCTCCAGACCTTGAAGGCAAACCTGGAACTTACATAAGTAACTGCCGAATCAGCAAACCACACTGGAAGGGATCAGATCCAATAGCATGCAAAAAGTTATTCGATTTCACATGTGCACTTTTAAACATTCGTTCTTTTGGTGTTTGTGAAGATTAATCTAAGTCAATGTAGGAACAATTAAACTACTTTTAAAACAATAAAAATGTTAAATTGATGAAAAAACTAATAAATCATAGAAATGAGTGAATATCAACAGGAAAATATAATTAAGTTTACGTCATTTCAAAATTTTCTAATTAACTCTGATTAATATTTCAATAATTTGATATTTTTTCACTTAAAATAATTAGTAATTGAAATTATTTTTTCGTGTCCCTCTAAATGAACTTAAATGTCTGAAGTTCAATATTCTGAGTTAATAATATTTCATTTAATAATAAATCTTTGTGATCTAATACAAAAGCGAGTGAAGTTCAAATATTTGAGTGATCCATTCCGAGAAGAAATGGAAAAACCATCACTTAAAACGTCTTAGTTTAAACTTTAAAAGAAGTGAAATAATCATTTGGATTTAAGACAAGTCAGATGGGACTTCTAGCTTTAGTAATTATCTTGATTATTTTAATTACAGCAATTTTAAAGTTTTATAAAACCGATGAATTTCCTAAAAAGTGGAGAAAGTTAAAGTTCGAAGCTAGAATGAGTTGGGTTGGCATAAGTGGAAGCACAATTGATTTATTTTACAGATCCGTCGACAATGTTGGTGAGTGACTTCTAATCTTTCATAGATATTTCATTTTAAATCATACTAACTGAGAGTGCTTTAAAGTTTTATATCCAAAGCCTAATAAAGTCGCAGTCATTACGGGTGGAAATCGTGGATTAGGCTTAGCAGTTATTCAAAAGTTTCTCGAATGTGACATGACAGTTGTGATGGGTGTCAGAAACCCTGAAGAAAGCAGAAGAAGTGTTGAAAAAGCTTTTGAAAAATTGTCATTGAAAGGGAAAGTTTTGTATGAGAAATGTGACACTGGAGATATGTCGTCAGTGCGAAGTTTTGCCAAGTCTGTGAAGGAGAAATATTCAGCCATTAATATTCTTGTAAACAATGGTTAGTTGTGAGAACCTCGAAATAGAAATTATATTAAGTGTGGTGAACTTTTAGCAGGAATACTTGCAAGTCCTCGAGTTTTAACAAAAGACGGTTTCATCTCGCAGATGGCTGTTAATTATATCGGACATTTCTTACTTACTCATCTGCTTTTGCCACAATTAATTGCTGGCTCAACGAAAGAAGAAAAAGCAAGAGTTGTCAATGTAGCTTCAAGTGTTCATTGTATCGGTGAAATTAGATACGATGACTTTATATACGAAAATTACTATCGTTTCGGAATGGCATATTCTGACAGCAAATTAGCTCAAGCCATGTTTACATTTCATCTTCAGAAAATATGTCGAGAACACAATTGGAATGTTCAAGTACATTCTGCACATCCAGGTGCATAAATTTATCTTAAATTTCCTAAATATTTTATAGCTTTCATAATGAGAATTTCTAAAATTCAGGCATGGTAATAACAGACATTTTCAACAAGTCATTTATGGGTCCATGGTCCAAACTTCCAATTCTTCACAACTGGTTCAAAGTGAACTTCATTGAATTATTTTTGTCTATATTTGAATTCTTAACTTCGTTTTTATTTTGTAGAGTCCTGAACAAGGATCACGTTCTGTTGTCTATGCTGCGATATCTCCAGACCTTGAGGGAAAGAGTGGAACTTACATAAGCAACTGTCAAATCATTACTCCTCATAAGAAAGCTTCAGATCAGAAAGAATGTGAAAAGTTATTCAACTTCACTTGTGGACTTTTAAACATTAAAGATTTTGGGAGAGAAATTCAAAATTGAATTATTTGGTTGTTTAACTTTATTCTCAAATATGACATTCACTCAAATATGTAATTATAATTCACACTTCAATATTGGATTTGAAAGATTTTTCAATAATAAAAAAGTAAATTAAAATTCATTATGAGTCTGTCACAATATAAACAAACTGTTGGAAAATATTTAAACATTCTTCAAGCTTTACCAACAAAACATGAAAAGTGAATTGAATGCAAAACGAAAGAAATAAAGCAAAGAAGCATATATTCAAATATTAGATACATGTTCATAAGTGGCTATGTATTTACCTATTTTCGGATATCTCGGTCTAGTTTATACATCAAAAAAATGATACACGAAGAAAAAAAAATCAAGTTTTACCAAAAATCAAAATTTGTTTTCACCTCAAAAGACTTAAATTACAAAAAAAACTTCATTCTTATAAATCGTGAACCAAATGATAACGTCTTTGAAATGAGAGTTTAAAAACCTGAAAACTTGATGATAAAAAATTTAAATTAACAAAGTTTTATCAATTTATGAAAACAGGGAAAAAAATTATTTCCAATTTTTCGAGTATCTTTAAATCGACGTTTGAGGTGAGGATGTTTTACAAAACCAAGCTTTTTATGTTTTTTCCCTTATAAATATATTTTGTTTGTATGGAGAATGAATGAATGAATGAAATTTTCTTAGTAGTTGGTGCCACGAATTTTAGTCTTGTAACAATCTTCAAACCATCAAGTTGAAATATCATTTTGAGTGAATCTAGATTAAAAGTGTCGACATGTTTCTTATTCTTTTTGCAATCGCACAACCAATTCTGCTTTTCTACTTTTTCCGATCGACTAAAGAATTTCCTAGATCATGGAATGAGTTTAAGTTTGAATGGTTGACAATATTCTGTGGTATGAGATCACAACAGGAAGATTTTATTTTGAGAAAGCGTAACAGAATCAGTTGAGTCTTTTTAAATATGTGTAAAACTTTGAAACTTGTTTTTTATTAAAGTTCATCATTTTCATAGAGTTGATTCAACTTCCAAATAAAGTTGCTGTGATAACAGGCGGGAATCGTGGCATTGGAATTCACGTGGTGGAGAAACTTTTAAGATGTGGAATGACAGTTGTTATGGGTAAGAAAAAGAAATGACAAAAATTAAATAAAAATGTTCAAGTAGTCTGCCGTTGTTAAATAACGTAATTAGTAAACAGTAGACTGGTTTATTTTGTTTCCCATAAAATTGCGTAATTAAGCAATTATAATGGCTTTAAAGCAGCATCCAAACAATTAAAATTCAATTACAATTTTAGGTGTTAGAAATCCAGATGGAGCTAAAAGGTCGGTTGAGAATTTTATTAATGAGTCTCTGACAAAAGGCAAAGTATTCTATCAGGAATGTGATACCGGTGACATGAAATCTGTGAGAGGTTTCGCAAAGAAAATTCAAGAAAACTTTCCTGAAATTCAAGTGCTGATTAACAATGGTGAGAACGAAAACTTTGTTAAAGTTTTCTTATGTCATGTCAAGTTATCTTTAAGCTGGTGTAATGGCAACTCCATACAAGGAAACCACAGACGGTTTCGAATCCCAAATGGCAATCAATCATCTTGGACATTTTCTCTTAACGCATCTCTTGATGCCACAACTCATCGCTGGTTCAAAGAATAATGATGGAAAGAATACCAGAATTGTTAATGTTTCATCCTGCGTTCATCGTGTCACAGAAATGAATTATGAAGATTTCCATTGCAAGTAAATTATTCATAAAAATGAAACAATTTCATTTGATATTTATCAAACATTATTACAACACGTTTTAGAAAATATTATTACCCTGGTGATGCATATGCCAAAAGTAAACTAGCACAAGTTTATTTCACAAAACATTTGGAAAACTTTCTACGAGAAAAGAATTTAAACATTCAAGTTCACTCAGTCCATCCAGGAATTGTCAACACAGATTTATTTGAACATTCAAGCAACACTTACATTCCATGGTTTAAAGATATTTTCTATAAGGTATTTTGTGTTTATTACTTATTTGAAAAACGTGGGCTTTAATTTCTTTTTTCTTACATAGAAACCCGAAGCTGGATCGCGTACAATTGTCTATGCTGCAATTTCACCGTATCTTGAAGGTAAAGGGGGAAGCTACTTGAGCAATTGCTATTTCGATAAATCACACACAAAAGCCAAAGATCCTGCAGTGACAAAGCAGCTTTTTGATTTTTCTTGTGATGTTTTAAAAATCAAAACATTTGGTGAGGTTTAGGAACTCTAAGAAGTAGAATATTATGTAATGCATTATTTTTTATGATAAATATAAATGTGCTAGAAATTATGAAAACTTTTTTAAATACATTTAAATTATTGTTGAAAATTACTTTGACTTATTTTGAGAAGAATCTCTTGATTGTGATGCATCGTTAAACTTCTATAATTTTAAATTCAATCACGAATATGATCTTTTATCATGTACCATATTAGATAAAATATAATACAGTTAGATATGTTCTATGACTTTTTAAAATTTACGAAAAAGCAATTTTAAATAGGACGAAACTCAAGCATCGTAATTTTTTTAAATTTAAATTTTATCAATATGTACAGCGCCATCTATTGAGGGGGATAATAGTTGCAACTTGCAAGCATATAAATGAGATTTGATTAAACCAACCTGTAGAAAGGAATTTCCTCATTCATAGTATATTAAATCTTGATTAACTGTGCAATTACTTAAGTAGTATCGATTTCATCGAAAATTAATTTAATTTCAATAATGTCATAAATAAAAATGATGTTCCAAACACTTTCTTATTTCAGTCATATTTTAGTGCAGTAACAACAAAGAAAAAAAAGATGAAATTCTATGAATCATTAAAGTTTGTGATTTTAGGACAGAATTTTTATCGGTTGGCAAACTTTCGTGTTAATAAAACTTATACAAAACTCGTCACTGATAAAAAGGAGATTTTCGCAACTTTAATATTTATTTTATTATGTGTTCTTGAATTGTGTGGTATTTTCTACAAATTTTATTACGCTGGTGATGATAGTTCATTTGAAATTTATGACAGTAAGAACTTTGAAACAATATTCAATATAGGTAATTGCACTTTTATTAATGAACATATTTCAGGCACCACCGGGGGATTTCAACTTGTTACATTCATTGTTTACATTGAACTTAGTTTGACTGTCTTGACTTCATTTTATTTTTTCTTCGTCTCAATTTTCAAACGAAAGCAACAAATTAAATTTCTCGAGAAAGTAGAAAAAATCGATGAGACTATGAGAAACAATTTCAATATTAATATCGATTACAGAATGTACTCTTTGAACTCATTGATGTCCTTGATATTTACTTTAATTTATTACAACATTATTCTTTCTGGGATTCTTTTAAAATTCCTAATCCAACTTAAATCATGGTTTGGCGTAGTTGGTTTTGTGACGTACATTGTGGAATCAGGAATGTCAGGAATATTTACATATGGGTACATTTCTTATGTTTCTCTGATACAAGATCGAATGTGGAAACTCAACGAAAAGTTGCAAGTCATTATTCAAAAGCCACCAGAAGAACTTGAGAAGGAATACGAAACGAAAGAACTTCTTTGCAACGAAATGATGAGATTCACAAAATTATACAAAAATTTGTGCTCGTGTGTTGAAGATATCAACCAGATTTATGGCTCATCAATGGTTTTATTTTTTGCTCATGATTTTACTCTTCTGACAACGCAAATTTTCGGGATGTTTTACATCAGTTTCTTTGGTGATCCACAACAATTAGTTTACAAGTTATTGGCTTTAGCAGTCTGGTTGTTGCCGAACATAATCAAGATGACTATCATTTGCTTCGTTTGTCATTTCACACGAAACATGGTTAGTTCCCAACATTAATTTTCATAACATCGCACTTTAATTCTATTTAATTTCTCTTAATATTTAGATTGAAACATGCGGAACTTATATAAGGAAGTTCAGTAATGAAGCAAAGGAAGATGACCTTGCTGATCTTGTTGATATGTTTTCCCTTCAATCGATTCATCTCAAAACAGAATTTTCAGCTAATAACTTTTTTTCAATCGACATGTCACTCTTTTTTTCAATCATTTCCGCTTGCACAACATACTTGGTGATTTTAATTCAATTTAAAAACTACGAGGATGAAAACGTTGATGTTGTTTTGCATGAAAATTTTACAACAACTCTGAGTGTTAATTAACTTATGATGCGACAGATGTAGAAATATGTTAAAGTCACAGTTCATTGTTAATTAGTTGCCGCTTGAGCTGCACGTTTAATTTGGGGTTGGAAAATGTTCATCATTTCTCGTCCAACCGGAATGAAGGACATTTGAAGTGAAAATTCATTTCATCACATCTTTAATTATTCTATTTCCGATGTTGATTCACTTTTAAACTTTAAATCACCCCAAAACAATTTTCAGTTGATTTAAAAGTCAAGGATCGCAAGATTATTGAATTTCAATATAGACAGTTAATTTTCATTGCAATTTTAGATTCAATTTGTCGTGATAAATTTTTCATGAGATCTTATTTAAGAAATGTTAAAGAATTAATTATGTATGTAACAAATTTCTTATAAATTTTATGATCATATCACAAGGCCAGAGGTGAGAAACACAATTTCGACAACGTTTCTTATCGTTAGTTTCAGTGGTTGGTTTTAAGCATAATGCAATAAAATATCATTGAAGCAAACGGTGAAGTTCTGTTTTCCTTTCCTCCAATGCTTTTCACATCTTGCATAAAAAAGAAAAGTTTTGCGCATGTTTTCTCTTTCTAATCATTGAAACATTCAAAACACTCGATGTTCACAACTGCAATGCACAATAATTCTAAATTCATCAATGACGCCAGCAGACAATCTGCTCCAGTTTCAACTAATCAATGATAGAAATCAATTTGATGCACGTTTTCATGAAATTTTAAGCACTTTTGACGAATTATTTTAAGATCATCTTGAGGATTTTAGGAAAATATATTTTCTTTGAAAATTTGATAAAATAAAGTCAACGATTGATAAAGCACGAGTTGTAAAGTGTTTAAAAGCAAAATGACTTTTCGTATTAATCGCGAAAGCAACATTTCATCTAAAATTAATCTTTTTATGTGTAAACTTTTTGTGTGTTTGATAAACATGAGATGAAAATAATAAATCTCTCGCCCTGAAACGGCGACGAGAAAATCCTTTGCTTTTTCATTTCATTTAATATGTAGATATAAACCATGACCGTTCTCACCTTTTTAACCCCCACTTCTATATTAATAAAATATTCTCTCTCATCATGGACAACGCCAACAACAAAAAAAAGTAACTTTTTACGTGGCAAGTTTGTGAATGTTAAGTTGACGACTTTTTGCAAAATCAATAAGCCTACTCAAGGTCAATTGCACCATGCACATTCTTTGCGTCTTGTTCCTCGTACAAAATTTTGTTTAACTTTCTTTCTTGTTTTCTTTTTCACTTCATATCTGTTTGCACGTAGGCGATAAGTTGCGCAATGTAAACGTTTAAAGGGTTACACATTATATAGTTGAATGGCCATTAAACTTTTGATCACTTATCGGAATTCATTATAAAATTTTATCACATTTTGGATCGATATTTTAGGGGATACTTTTAATACCTTTGTCTATGAATGTAGTCACAAAATTTTCTAATTATCGTTTTATAGTTTTAACATTTCAAAGCTTTGTATTTGACAAAGAACATGCCGTAATTAATTTATTGTCAATATTTTAAACACGATTTAAATATTAATTTATAAAATAACTTGATAATTCGGAAAGCTTGCACAACTTTTAAGTTATTTTTATCACAACATAAAAATTCAAATTTATTTATTTCGTGTCAAAGGACTTTATAGCAATCCTTTTTGACCTAATTTCTCTAAATTAAAATATTTTATCATTCAATGCAATTTAGAATAATTGTCAATTTGTAGATGACTGCTCTAAAAGCTCAATTTCAGAGATGTTGTCGATGTTTTGTGGGTGTGACATCAATTTAAAAATAAAACTCAAATTAAATAAATTCAAGCTTTTTTGTTTAAATTTTCAGCTCAAAACCATTTCAGTTGGTTGAAAATAATGCTCAATTAATTTATTGACTTGAACAATTAAATTCTTCGAATTTTATTTAACTTTTAGAAAGTGAACTTTTTTAAAAAATGAATCGCGCCCTTCAATTAATATTTCTTAAAAACCAGAAGTCAGAAATTGCAGCATTCAGTGATGATTTCAATATCAAAAGATAATAAAAATGTTGCTTAGATTTTTGGCTTTTTAATGATTTCAATTTTAAAATAAGTCATGAATTATTGATGAAATGATAACCACAGACGTGGTTTGTTATTAGAGCGTGATAGTCTTTCTCAAGCGTGTGCTTCATGAGCTTTGTGAAAGGCGGAAAATCATTACCAAGGATGACAGTCATTGAATTATTAAGTATTAATTAATAAATCTTTAATTTTCCTCTGCTTATTTATCTGCCTCTTAAACAGTTTCCGAATCCAAAAAATGTAACAATGCTTAATCAATAATCAAAAATTTACTTTAAAGACAGGTATTAAATATATTTATGATGAAGAGATTATTCACCGAAAGAAATATTTTAACGAAATTTTGTTAGACACAGCTAGGCTTATCGAAATGTGAAATTAGTGGTCAAAATTTTATCCAGTCATTCGTAAAACATGAACAGTACAAATGAAATATTTATTATGATATAAAATTGTATTTAACTTTAAATGTGACGATATCAGAACTTTAAGTCAGCCAAGCCTTTGACGTATATGATTTTTATGATCGTGACTTTGAATTTTGTTTCACGTTTTTCATTTAAATTCAATAATTGACTGTAAAATCAGATGATGAGAGTGATCATCATCATTTGCGCATCTTTTTGGTGATTCCTTTTCTCATTTCTGTTACGTACATTATTGTTTATATTCACTTCATCTCAAGCATCTATCTTCTTAAATTAGTTTTTGCTGTAATTTAGTACCTAATATGAAGATCTTAAAAGAAACTGAAGAAGAAGAAAAATGAAATGGCATTAAACAGGTTGTCGTTCTGTGATACAAACACATGAAAAATATTTCGCGGGCGATTCACACCAATAATTTACCCAGGGTCTTAACATATCACATCTCCACTGTCTGCAGGTTTTTCCACAACCAGAAATTTTTAAGAAAAAAGTTGAGTCAGTTGATCGAGAGTGATCGAGGTGTAAACACCAAAAACTTTAAACTCTCTCGCTTAAAATCGTTTTTAAAAATTTTCGAAAGAAGTTGTAGATAAACCAAAATAAAATAATAAAAACTTAAAAGTTTTGCGTAGCGATATTTCTGTTATCCACAACATTTTACAATAACTTGTTGAACAACAAGTCACATTGACAATTTTTTGAAGACAAATTGACAATTTTAAGAAATATTTATAATCAGTGCGCATGTTTACGAGTACAGAATATTAATTGACAAGTTGATATACGTAAAACGTTATTCAAGGAGTTATCTGGTTAACCATGCTCCATCGGTGATAAAAAAGTTAAATTAAGACCCAAATAAAAACCTGTGTTAAGCTTTAAAAAGTAAGTGACATAAAAGTGAGAGAAAACAGATAAGCGAACTTTTTTGGATCCTCAACAAAAGCAACAGAAAGTTGAAACGCACAATAAGCTTATTTAAAACTAAAGCATATTAAAAAGTTCGAATAAAAAAATAGAGAGAGAAAGGAATATATTTTCAGATGTAACAATTTCGTAATAATCTCCGACACAGACATTAATTCACCAGACGAAAAAAAAGCGTTTCATCTCTATTTTCGTTAAAGAAAAATAATTTCCTCATTGTGATTCATGGATCATCAAATTTATTCGAGAAGAGTTGAATCGAGTTGCTTCGGCAAATTATTTGAAATTTATGATTTGGTGACCAAACTGTCGAAAAGAAATAAAAATAATGCTACGCAATTTTTTTCTATATTACTTTGTGTTGTACAACTTTTGTTTTTGATGCCAACGAATTTGTAATTATGTTGACTTAATGTTTGGAAAATTACTTGTTTTCATATTTTTTTTGAGTCAAATTAAACATTAGGAATTTTGTTATGATTTTTTATGTTCATCTTCCGACGTTTTTCGCTTGCAGACATTAAAACTAATGATGAGTAAACTGAAAGTCGATTAATAATATTATGAAATGTATGAAATTTAGCGGCTTTGGTAATTCTTTCAAGATGATTTGAAGAAATAATGTCATTCATATTGATGGCATTGAGCGTTTTTGAATGTTAATTCGATTTTTAAAAATATTAGAAATATTGAACTTCACGTTTTTAAACATATCTGAATCACTTCCTAGCGAGTTTCTTAACGAGACAACGGCACGAATGTCGAATTTAAAATTTATAAACAAAACATAGAAATTTTGCTTAAAAAAAATAAGCATAAAGATGAAAACGTGACCGTTGATTAATGCTTCCGAAATCGATAATTCATTGTAATCTGTTTTGATTTTTTTTAACCCATTCACAAAAAAACAAGAAATAAATAAAAATAAACAATTTTGTTTTCAGGAAAAAAAGTTTAACTCCTTGTGTGCAATTGTTACACATTAGATAAGTGTTCAACATAAAAGAAAATACAATAAGAGAGAAGCCGAGTAAAAGACAACGAAAGTTGCGTGTCGTAATCACAATCAACGTGCTTCAAGTAAGATTCGATTTGCAATTCAAAAAATGGCCAGTATTATTAAATACTTCACCGATTACTACGATTGGACATTAACATTTGTTGATCCACGATCCAAAGGATGGTTTTTAGTTGATAGTCCGAAGCCAACATTCTGGCTACTCGTCATGTACCTTACAATTGTTTGGATTGGACCAAAAATCATGAGAAAGTGAGTAAATATCTTAAGTAAATATCGACTCATGTTCACCTTGAAACAGCAGAAACTCAAACTGAAACTTTACTAGTACAGCACTTTAATGGAAAAAGAGAAAATTTTATTTTCGACAACTTATGAGTAGTGAATATGTAACAGTTTATTAAAAAAATTGTGCAATAATTATGACATCTTCGTAAAGGCGAAATGTGAAGGAAACAAAATAATAATAATCGAGTCATTAAGTCAGAAGATTCGCAGCTGTATGATGCGTAATGATGCAACCAAAGTAATGTTGTCATTGAAAAGCGTTAAAAGTTTCTTTAAAAAGTTTTTATCAGATTTTCTTGTTCTAATTTGACAAGGAATGACATTGACATGTTGACTGATGTTAATGTTAATATTTGACTTTGACAATCACACTTTAAATATTTCTTTAGCAAAACAATCAAGAGCGCAATGTTATTGCTATTTTCTCACTTAATAGCCCATTAAAATTCAAATCTCATAATAAATAAAAATGCTGAACTTTGTCAGTTCAAGATTATTTAATTAATTAAAAGTAATGCTCATGAGGTAACTGCTGTTGAGGGGAAGCATGGAATGTTTAAATTTGCGACAATGAATGAAATTCTAATTACAAATTTACTTCAGCCGAAAGCCTTTCAAACTCAATGGCCTTCTAGTTCCCTACAATTTGGGGATGGCTTATTTGAATGGATTCATATTTGCTCGCTTAGCAGAGTCAGCGATAAGACTGAAATATAGCATTTTTTGTGAACCATGTCGACAGATATCAACACCCGATGAGATGCAGGTGAGTCAACGTTATGGGCAATAAAATTAACCTTGAGACGATCTTTTCTTTTCTCGAATTCGTTTCACTTTTATTGGATTGATTGATCAATGAATTGCGAGTCATTACAAGCTATTAAATGATTAATAATAAAAATTTGCAATCAGTTTATGACTCGTCTAGGTGAAGAGATTGACGAAAACATAAATCGGAAAATTTTAAAAAAAGTTTAAAGTTTAAATTCTTCTTTATTTATGTTTAGTTTTCAAGGAGAATAATATTATGAGTTTCAGCTCTTTAAATCTATTGAATGAAATGAACTCATTGTTGGCTTTTCGTGGGATTTTTTAACTATGTAAACAAAAAACTTTTAAATCTTAAATGGTGACGTAAATGGTTTAAGTAGTAACAACTTTAATCGTTAAGTTTGATTCTCTCATGGATAGGCTAAGCATTGAAATTCTAAACATTATGAAACAAATTTATCATTTTATACACCATTTAAATATTTTCCGCAAAATTTTGTTTCCTGCTGAAGATAGCAAAAACCTTTTTTGCGAAGTTTAGAAAATTCTTTTTGAAGACTTGCACCAATGTAAGAAAAACTGAAAAAGAAACTAAAAGTTGTAAATATGACCAAAGTCGAAATTATAAGTTGCGCCATATCGCTTTCATCTTTTTAGGAACTTGTAACTTCTTTATGGCACAAGTTTTGATTTTTTATTGTTCATCCCGGAAATGAGTGGAAGTGACTGAAAATAAATCAAGACTTGATAGTATTTTGGTAATGATAGAATTTTATTTCTTCATTAAAGTCAAGAAAGATGAATGTTTGCTAGCTCGTGTCAAAAAATCGCAGCTCATTAGTGGATAAAAAGTCGAATTAGAAGTCCTTTCTTGTAAAGAATTGAGGAAAATTGAGATCGATGTTCAGGATATGACGCCATTCAAAAAATGTTATTCACTTGTATCTTAAATGTCTAAAAGATTGTTCAAATTTTTCATTTCTTTCATAAAGATTGTCGATGCTATATGGTGGTATTACTTTTCTAAACTTTTGGAATTTTGCGACACTTTCTTCTTCATTTTGCGTAAGAAAGACAATCAACTTTCATTTCTACACATCTATCATCACTCGACGATGTTCGTATTCTGGTGGATTGGCATTAAGTGGGTTCCATCCGNAGTAGTAACAACTTTAATCGTTAATTTTGATTCTCTCATGGATAGGCTAAGCATTGAAATTCTAAACTTTATGAAACAAATTTATCATTTTACATACAATTTAAATATTTTCCGCAAAATTTTGTTTCCTGCTGAAGATAGCAAAAACCTTCGAAATTAGGGTAGTTGGCTAGTAGTGACACCACCCCCGAAAACGCGTCCAGTAGTGACACCACTCTATTAGTTTAATTTTAACAGCTCTTAGAGCTTACCGGAGGAATGTGTTAATACATAACGGTAGAGGAAGGTTCAAGGATAAATAATTAACAAATCGCCTTTTCCGGTAAGCCCTAATCGCAGATAAAATTAAATCGAAATAAAGTGGTGTCACTACTGGACGCGTTTTCGGGTGGTGTCACTACTAGCCAACTACCCTATAAGTTGCGCCATATCGCTTCCATCTTTTTAGGAACTTGTAACTTCTTTATGGCACAAGTTTTGACTTTTTATTGTTCATCCCGGAAATGAGTGGAAGTGACTGAAAATAAATCAAGACTTGATAGTATTTTGGTAATGATAGAATTTTATTCCTTCATTAAAGTCAACAAAGATGAATGTTTGCTAGCTTGTCAAAAAATCGCACCTCATTATTGGATAAAAAGCCGAATTAGAAGTCTTTTCTTGTAAAGAATTGAGAAAAATTGAAATCGATGTTCAGGATATGACGCAATTCAAAAAATGTTATTCACTTGTATCTTAAATGTCTAAAAGATTGTTCAAATTTTTCATTTCTTTCATAAAGATTGTCGATGCTATATGGTGGTATTACTTTTCTAAACTTTTGGAATTTTGCGACACTTTCTTCTTCATTTTGCGTAAGAAAGACAATCAACTTTCATTTCTACACATCTATCATCACTCGACGATGTTCGTATTCTGGTGGATTGGCATTAAGTGGGTTCCATCCGGATCAAGTAAGTTTTTAAATAATTTATTGATTTCCGACATTTTTAAGTCTGAGATTAAGAAGAGGCATGCAAAAGATGTTGTTGTGGGTCCACAATGATGACACAGTCCCAGGTTTTGAATATTCAAATATTTAAATGTTTATAACAGGAAAAACTAGTTTTTCATGAATTTGAATATCTCAGCTGATGTTTCATTTTCATTTCAAAGAAAGTTATTTCATCTCAATGTTATCCTCGTAAGGGAATTTGGATTAAACAATTTCATTCAGAAGAACTAAGGCCAAGCTAAAGAACTGATTGAAAATAATTTATGAATAGTGAAATTTTATTCAAAAAGATAAACAAGACATTCAAAACTGTTAAATATTTATTTCGAAACAGAACTAGAAATCAATTTTATTCTAAGCTTTTCAACGGAACACCTTTTAAACAAAATAAGCGAATTGATGAATAGCGAAAACAATTTTTCGAAGTTTTTATGGAGCTCTATTCAAATATTACGAATACATTTCAGCTGCATTTCCCGCTATCGTAAACTCAGGCATTCACGTTCTTATGTACACATATTATGGTCTCTCAGCGATTGGACCACAAATGAATAAATATTTGTGGTGGAAAAAGTATTTGACGATAATTCAGTTGGTAAGTTAACACTAAATATGTGAATTACTTCCGTTGATATTTAATTATTTACATGGTTTCATAACTAGCTTCAATTCAGCGGTGCATTAGTTTTGGGATTCAATGGACTTAGAATAGATTGTGAGTTCCCATTATGGATGCAATACACACTATGCGGATATATGGTGTCATTTTTGGTGAGTATGTCATAATAAAGCTCTTGTCTATATGAGTAAAATTAAAATAAATTAAAAACCAAAATTTTTCTTATATTTAAATTATAAACCATCTGAATAAAATTATATAAAAGAAGTAAGTTTGAGTTAAAAGTATATTTTTAATGTCATTTTAGGTGCTTTTTGGCCGCTTCTATGTCAGCGCTTACATTGATGATCATAAGAAACGAAAACAAGAAAAGACGTTAGCCAATAATAACTTGTTATCGCTGAAGAATCAAAATATTGTATCTAATGGCGTGGATAATGCCAAGAAGGACGAGTAAAATATGGCACGAGCTTTTATTATTTCAAGGCAGAGTGTGAGGAAGTGTTATCATGATGATTCATAATTGAACATTATTTTTCGTTTTAGATACAATTTTGAAAATAAATGAGAATAAAGTTCTTAGTAAGTCAGTTTAGAAGTTACGTAAACTTTGTGAACAGTTATTTTCGAGAATGCCAGAAAATTCCGTAGAACAAAATTGCGGCAGATAAGTTCTACTTCAATTATTTCTTTGTAAGAGCGGCGAAACTGCAATGAAAGCTTTTGTATTTGCGTGTACCATCGACACCTTCAAATACAAAAGCNTTCGTTTTAGATACAATTTTGAAAATAAATGAGAATAAAGTTCTTAGTAAGTCAGTTTAGAAGTTACGTAAACTTTGTGAACAGTTATTTTCATGTTAGAGTTATTTATGTTAAAGAGAAGAAAAATGAGAAAATATGGTGTAATTATGCAAAAGATTCGAAACTTCCAACAAGTCTTGCTTGTTGTTTTTCTTTTGCCAGTAAAAATATATGTTTTTGTAAATATTCAGCGATGAAAAAGGAAAGAAGGAGCAAAGAATGAATTAAACTACCATTCGGGGAGTTGAGAAATTTTGTTAAGATCATAATAAACTTGTTCAAAGTTTGATTTCAAAAGCTTTTACTTATTTCTTCTATTAAAACATTTCATTTCATTCTAAAGCCAAAACTTTCGTTAATAACTTTTTTATTGAACAAATTTCTTGAAAAAACTTAGTTTAATTCCTTAAGTTTATTATCTTTTGTTCATATTTGTGTTCATGTCAAATAAGTTAAAGTTTATCACAGTTTTTAACATGGATCAAAAATCGGCTATTGACAATGATTTTTCTTTTGTTTCCTCTTTTCAATGATTTGATATTTATACATAACAACAGAAAATATGAATTTAATTATGTAAGTTTTGTTTCCTTCCTCCATTGTGCATAACTATCTCGGAAGTGTCAATGACCTTAGATTGCAATAAAAAATTTACATTTTTCTTAGTTTCTTGTTATATATAAATGAATAAAATTTAAAAAGTTTTAAAAAAATATTTCACAGTTTATTGACGACAGAGAAAACTCAGACGATTGTAAAACGGTCATTGAATTAATGAATTCATGGAAATATTTGAATGTTGTTGAGGATTGAAACCCTTTTCATGACCCTCATAACTCATGCCACTAGTTTAATGTCTGATTGTGTGGTAGCGTTTTCTGAGAATGATTTTATTTTTCATGTACAAAAAATGTTTACAATGTAAAGCATGAGTATCGAGAGACTACGAAGGGACAGGTGTCTCAAATTTCACCTGAAACAAAAATATTTTTTGTTGTTGCATTGGCAGAAACAAAAACTTACGGCACAAAAATAGGAATTTTGCTTATCATCTGAATTCATCAGTCAAGAGTGCTTTTCATCCAACGAGAACTCTCACAACTGCACCGAACTTCCTTCACTTTAAGGGCAAATTCAATACGGCACATAAAAAAGAATTTTTCCTTGTTGCCTGAAGGGTGGAAAAAAATTGTATCCACTTTGTTGTTTTACTGTTGTATAATTTTACAAATAAAAATATTTTGTATTCACTTAGGTTGAATGTGGAAGGAGGGAAATAGGAAGTGAATCTTTTTATTTATTATTTCAATGAGAGTTGAATTTATGCTTACTTTATAACATATAATCGATCAAATATGTATCATGAATCGCGAAAAACACAACTTTGCAATATTTTTTGAAGGATAAGTGAAAGATTTTTACTTTAGTGAGTATTTGTGAATGGAAGGCTTGGTCATAATTATGACAAGAAATCTTTTTAACAAATTTAAAGTAAACTTAAAAGTTGCAAAATCATTCTTCTGATAATAAATTGATATTTGAATATTTTTAAGAAAACGTTGACTCTTCAAAAATATGCTTTGTAATGCTTCTAACTCTTCTGTGAGGATATAAATTCTACCCAACATCAAAGTTGAGAAATTTGAATATTTTGGATTGTCATTCGCAGAAGATTTTTACCACAACAAGAATCTAGAACAAAATAGTTGAAATACGTCGAAAATTTATTAAGATAATACAATTTCAAACTAAAAATGAAAATGTGATAAAACGGGAACATTTTGAATTTATTTCATGAAAATTTACGAACATATTTATTAATTTCATATTTCTTTATGATTTTATTTATTGAAATGAAAAAGTTGAAAACAAAAATAATTTTTAGAACATGTGATTACGATGTGCAGCAAGGTAGTAAAAAGTATTAACACATCTACAAGAGACTGAATTTCTCACGAGAGAATCTCTCATTTTGTTCTATTTTTAAATATTTTCATCTACGATATTTCAGTCTGATGAGTAAAGTTGTTGTTATAATCTGCTGCAAAACACACAAGTTTGAGGGTCCAATGGCGCAACGGATAACGCGTCTGACTACGGATCAGAAGATTCCAGGTTCGAATCCTGGTTGGATCGATAAACCTTTTTTATTATGAAAATTTATAACTTTTCCTGTTTTTTTTTTTTTTCTTTCTTTCTCTCGTACATTCATAAAAGTGTTGAATGGAATATTTTCAGAATGAAGTCGTAAAACTTGATTTTTATTAAATAAAAACTTTTTCATTCCAGTTTTGTTGAGTAAAATAAAATTTCATGGTCAATGAGCACAATCACATTTATCTTACGAGTAGAAAGGATACAAACGGCTTTAGTTGTAGCAATCACTTAATGAAAAACTTTTTTTTTCTCTTGAAAGGTAATTTACTTTCACTGACAAGAAAATATTTTTTGCTTCCATTTAGGATTTTTTTTTCTTGAAACGAAAATTTCATCTCATAATAGAATTTTTTCCCACCAACCTGAAGGCAGAAGAAAATAGAAAATTGTTCATTTACACGAGTAGACAACAGCAGCAATGAGAAAATGACATATTAAAATTGTATGTAGATTCAAAAAAATTCACAGCCTTAAAAATCTATGAAAATATTTTTTATGGGTATCGTTGTCGACTTTAGAAAAACTTTTTAAATTAAATTTCAGCTTTCAGTTCTTGCTACAACCAAAAAGGTGATTTAAGATGTCCGTCTTTTCTAATCACATTAATAGATAATTTAAATGTCTACATTCCATCCTATCAAATTTACTCATAGCACAAGAAATTGTTCGCCATTTTAAAGACAGACACAGAAATTGCTTTTTGGTGGAAAGTGAAAAAGGAATTAAAAGAAGGAAATTGTTTTGTATGATTTTATCGCATGAAGAATTTCTGGGAGCAGCATAAACTGTTTTGTTTATTTTATGGGAAATTGTATCAGGAAAAAGGAAGCTTGATAATAAGTTAAAAGAAGGTTGTAGAGACAGCACATGGTAACATTGAGTTGGAGGGTGACGTGTTATAATGCGAGGGTTGCGTAATTAAATATACCAGTGTTGATATTTTTCATTGCCACCACGTTTTTTTGCAATTTCAATATTTAGAGAAAAGAAAAAGGGAAGAAAACTTTTGACAGGTAAAAGACGTTGTTGAAAGTCTAAGTTTAGCCTCAGGGTAACACCCACTTTCACTTCCGAGTGACATCCGATGTGACTCTGGTTAACCCCATTTTAAACGGGAGTTTATGAATTTAGACAGCACTGTTGAAAAGTTTGAAAAATCAACTTGAGGAAATGAAAATGTTTGGTGGAAATGAAGACGTTTAAGATGGTGGCAAATTGAATGACGAGATTATTTGAACAGATTTGAATGGTCGAAATTCTTCGACATTTATGTTCAGTGAACGAAGCTTTTTGTTGAAGAATATAAAACGTTACCAGCTTGAAATTCTATGATTTTATATACCACTGGTGACCATCAATTAAGTAATAATTCTCATGTAAATATGTTTTTTACCCTCTTCATCAAATACTTATGGCAGATGATAAATACATAAATTGATAAAGATCATTAATTAAATTATTTATGTCAGTCCACTCAAATTTATGTTTAATAAGTAACTGAATGTTATTATGAATTAATTTCGCATGAAAACATGTTTTTCTTTGAGTCCTTATCGCTTGCCAGATGTTTCCTCACATATTTAGAAAATTATTTCGTGTAAATCATTCGATAAACAAGCAAATTATAGACTCATTTCACTTATATCGTAATCAGTGTAATTTTAATACAGATGGTGCATTATTTATATGAAAATGTCATATAATAATTTTATTACACAATTTTCCCTTTCATTGAGTGCAACTTTTTGTCTCACCACCCACATAAAATTTTTCATTTCGAGGGATATCGCGCCTTGAGGCTATGACCTTGCATTATATGGAAAACAAGTGCAAATTCCATTGGAAAATTGTTCGATTTTATTTAATTTTATGTTTAAATTTACAAAAAATCAATTGGCAATTTCATTCATGACCTGCCTCTTCACTCTCACAGTAAATTGAAGTTCTACGGCATAATTTGTTATGATTCCAATCACTGTCGCTTATCATAAAAATTCCAAAAGGTTCGAGGTACACACCAGAATCTATCTGAAATACCGGCATGCACGAAAAGCAAATAAAATAAATTTAATAAACTTTATTCGATGTATAAATAAGCGCCCGCTCTTTTTTTGGAACGACCGTACGTCGCAAATGTTGCTGAAGGCAAAGCTTAGATTGAATTTCTCTCATTTGCTTTGTAATAATTTTCAATAAAAATAGCGATGGAGATTGAAATGTTTTTCCAGCTTCAATACGTGAAAAGAGATGGAGTCAGGCAGATAAGCGAGTAAAACTTTACAAATTGGCGTAATTCTTTAATTTAACGCTAGAAGAGATTTTTGAATTTGCATTTTAACGGAGCAATGAATATTCTGGGGTGCGTACTGTTCATCGATGATGAAAATTGATGAGAAGGTGAAAAGGTTTAATCAATTTTGTTAATGGATTTTTATGAGACTTTTAAGGATTCGTTTATAATAAATTATGAACATTGAATCTGATTTTTCCTGCTATCTTGTCTGTATGAATGAGAACTTTGCTTTTCTCTAAACTTTTCAGACACAAGCAGAGTGGAATTAAATGTTCTTATCGCAGTAATTTTACTTTTTCACCAGTCATTCATTTAGTATTCAAGACAGAAGCAAGAAACGATTTAATTCACTCAACCTATAATCATCAGCGAAAACGTTGATGTCTGGCCTTAGAACGCAATTCATTTTCAACACTTCGTGTGAAATTATCATTCTTGAAAGCTTGCATGCCAATTGGCAATATTTATTGTCTCGAGCTAGCGACGTTCGAATACTTAAATGGAAATATGTGTTCGGTCGATAAGAGTCAGGAATAATTTTCTTTATTTAATTTCACTTTTGTAAAACATTCGATGTTTGAATTTCTAGTGTGAATCTTTTTTCGTGGCAAACCGCAATGAGACGGTATAGGACGCCGTGAAATGTCGAAAAAACTATCAAAGAAATTGAACTAATAAGGTTGTCGCTTAAACATAAATTTCACTTATTGTTTGCGAAACTTTGTTTAATTTTTTTTGTAATTGCCTCAAAAAAGGTCTCGTGTAGTATTTCCGGCGCCTTTTCAATTATAAATACATTCAGACAGTGTGGCGTTCAAATTTTTTTCGATTCATTTCTTTCATGAATGTTTTATGAAACTCTTCATATAAAGAATGTATGAAGTTCATCGGAACATAGTTGAAAACGGAACATTGTAAGTTACACATTTTGCGTTTGTTTCAACTTAAAAAACCATTAATGAAATCATTCATTAACTTTTCTATATTAAGTTGTGGTGCATAGGAGAAAATTCTCCCCCGAGAATTATAAAAAGAGTTTATACTC